CATTGAGGCGCCTGGGAGCAAGCTGCCTGGCGGGGTGGGAATGAGAGGCCTCCCCACCCCCCGCAGCACTGCGCCGTGTGCTGAGGCTGTGCAGGCCACCAGCTCGCTTGGGGGCCCCGGGGAAGCGGGACAACAGAGTCTGCCACCCAGGCCCGCCTGCTTCCAAAGACTTTTGTAAAAGCTGAAGCCAGGAGGGGCTGGGAAACAGGGAGTGGGGCGATGGCCCTCAGATCTGGGCAAGGCCGCCTGCGGTGCCTGCATCAGGGCCTGGGCAGCTGGCAGTGATAAAGAGCCCACAACGGGGTCAGAGCCCCCTGCGGGGACGCAGGGAGGGCAGGAGAACCTGTGTGTGTGTGTGTGTGTGTGTGTGTGTGTGTATGGGGGCCCCCTTTCCACTGCACTGCCCACCCAGACTCAGAGCCAACAGTGTGGACCCCAGAGACAGTCCCGGTTCAAACCTTCACTCTGCCTGGGAGCCACAAAGGACCTGGTGCTCGTCACCCCACCTCAGTTCCCCCATCTGCTTGTCAGAGTCATAACCGCACCCGAGGCCTGGCACCTTCTGTCTCACAGTCTCGCCCACCCCCGGCAGCAGCCCCTTGCAAGCTGTCAGACTGCACAGCCCACCTAAACCAGCGTCTGTCACCACAAGACCCGTAGGCCTGCTTCCCGCCAGCTGTTCCCAGGCACAGGGCAGCTGAGTCAGACTGCGCGGCCCCCTCCATCCTGTCACTCACCACTGCCTCCCCTCCCTCGCCTCCCCATCACACTGGGCATTTTTGTTTTTATTTTTTTAATTCATTAAGAGGCCAAAAGAGAGACAAACAGAACAACAGCAGGAGCTCCCAGCTGCTGATTCACCCCACCAATATCTGCAACAGCTGGGACTAGGCCAGGTTGAAGCCAGGAGCCAGGGACCCAATCCAGGCCTCCCCCCCCCGCCCGGGTGCCAGGGATCCACGCACCCGAGTCACGCTGCTGCCTCCCAGGGTCTGCATTAGCAAGAAGCCAGGAGTCACGAGCTGCAGCAAGTGCAGAATGCAGACTAATGTGACACGTGAGCGTCCCAACTGGTGACTTTTAACCACTAGGCCCAACACCCACCCCACCCTGGGCATTTTACTTCTTCATGTTTTAAATGCTACTTTTTAAATTTATTTTTTTTAAAAGATTTATTTTTATCTGAAAGAGTTGGTGGGGGGATCTCCTGTCTGCTGGTTTACTTCCCAGATGGCCATAATGGCCAGCATTGGGCTAGGCCGAAGCCAGGAGCCAGGAGCTTCTTCTGGGTCTCCCAGCTGGGTGCAGGGGTCCAAGCGCTTGGGTCACTTTCCTCTGCTTTTCCAGACCATTAGCAGGGAGCTGGATGGGAAGTGGAGCAGCCGGGACTTGAACAGCCGCCCATATGGGATGCCAGGGCTGCAGGCGGAGCTTAACCTACTACACCACAGCGCCAGCCCCTGCCCTGGGCATTTTCGATGCACACTGTCACAGTACAGTAGGTCATCACTGGACGCTGAGGTCCGGGGGCACAGTCCCTATGAGGAATTGTGCGAGCAGCGGGCTACGGAAGACTCAGGCACCCCGAGGCCTGCCCCAGAGCACCCAGCAGGGCCTGACAGGGGGTGCCTCCCGGGACCCACCTGCAGAGCACCAGCCCTCCAGGGAAGCAGCGCGCTGGCCCCGCCTCTTTTTCTCGGAGCCTCATCACCTCAACCTAAGCTGCCCCCTCCCTTCCGTCCACCTCAGGGAGACAACGGCCTAGGGCACTGCTTTCCATGCCCAGTGTTTCTCTGGGCGGCCCCACCTCCTCGGCAATCTGTGGACTGGACCACAGCAGCAGCCTCTGCACTGGCCTCCGCCTTCCATACGACACACAGGTTGGCGGTCACTATGCTGCTCAAGGCCATCTGGCGCTTCCCGGTGCCCTCCCGCTGAAGTCCAAGCCCCCTCAGCCTGGCACTCTGGGTCCTCCCCATTCCTCACCCCTGTACCGAGGCACTCCCAGGCCGGGCTACCCATGTGCCCCCCAGTACACACTACACATGCCATCCATCTCATCCCCTCACTCAGCGCACACCCACCCCATGTGCACCACACACAGCCACACCCCACGTACCCCCTACACACCCTATACACCCCACACCCGTACACATCTCACACACCTCATATATCCGCACCCCGTACTTCTCATCCATACCCCATATGTATCACACACACCCCATATACCCTCTATACCTCATGCACACCCCAACACAACCCACCCCTAGATCCTATACACACCGTAAACCCACACACCCCATCCACAGCACTCAGGACCCACACACATCATACCCGCCCTGCACAAGCCAAGCTAGCACAGACTGGAGCTCCCACAGGGCCTGCCCCCTGCCACGCCCCGGTTCTCCCATGAACACTGCCCCTCTTGGACACTTCACGTTTGCTTGGGCTCCCTTCTGCCTGAATACCCTCCCCCCACCACCATGTTGAGACCCACAGACATCTGTAATGGCCTCTCTTGCAGGGGCTCAAGGGGTCAGAACGTGTGTGTGTGTGTGTGTGCGCGCACACATGCATCACACTGGGACCCCCAGACAGGGCCACTGCCCTCCGCTCTGGTCTGACTTTGGGGGAGGAGCTGGGGCCTGCTGATGCTGCTGCCTCACCCCAGCCTCACCCCTCCCCCCCTCCAAAGCCAGACTCCTCACTCCCAGGCCTTTGTCTACACTGTTTCCCTAGACAGGAAGCCCCTTTTCTCCACTGTGCCCCATCCTTGGGGCCCAATTCACACGCCATGATGACCGCCATCAGTTTTTTTTGTTTTGTTTTTTTGTTTTTTGACAGGCAGAGTGGACAGTGAGAGAGAGAGACAGAGAGAAAGGTCTTCCTTTGCCGTTGCGGCCGGCGCACCACGCTGATCCGATGGCAGGAGCCAGGTGCTTCTCCTGGTCTCCCATGGGGTGCAGGGCCCAAGGACTTGGGCCATCCTCCACTGCACTCCCTGGCCACAGCAGAGAGCTGGCCTGGAAGAGGGGCAACCAGGACAGAATCCGGCACCCCGACCGGGACTAGAACCCGGTGTGCCGGCACTGCAAGGCGGAGGATTAGCCTAGTGAGCCGCGGCGCCGGCCCGCCATCAGTTAAGTTCTTCATTCATGCCCCACACATGCTGCCTTCCCATCGCCCCGGCAGGGCCCCGAGCCTCGGCCTGAGTTGGTATCAGCAGAGCAGGCCCTGGACTTTTGGTTCCTTCTTCTTCACCCCTGTAAGGACACGGGCAGACAGCCCAGTTCCCTGTTTGCACGGTGAGGGATGTTGCCCCGGGGTGCTGAGACCCAGGATGGAGAAGTGAGTGGCTGTGGACACAGAATGAGTCGGGGGTGGGGCTGACCTGAGGACAGCAGGCCGTGAGGCCGCGCCCCTCTGCACCTGCACTCTCCCTAAAACCTCCCTGGGCCGTTGTTCGGTCATGGCCAGGGAGGGCGGCTGGGGGACATGGAAGGTGAGGAGCAGGCCAGGCCAGGGACAGCCGTGGGCCGTCTCCAGCCGAGGCAGGCCCAGGTCCTGGGGCTGCAGTCTGAGAGGTTCTTCCTGCCTTCCCTGCTACCTCCCTGCCACTCAGACTCTCCAGCCCTCAAGACGGCTCCAGCGTCATCTCTTGCAGGGAGCTCTCCAGCACTGGGCCCTTGCTCAGGGTGGAACTGCCACAGCATCGCTTCCCCCAGCGGGGCTCAGGGCACCTTCAGGACGGGGCTCTTGATGACGCCTCCCCCACCTGGCCCTGCTGCCTCGCAGCTCGGGCCTCACAGGGGTCTGGTAAATGTCACCCACTAGAAAAGGCACTGCGGTGAGGGACAGCTGTCCCGGGGCCCCCAGGCAGGACAGGGGCCTGGGCCTGAGCCCCTCTGCTGGCACCTGCTCGTGGCCCTGGAGTCACTGCCCTTCTCTGGCTGTCTCCTCTGCATGGGAGAGGGACGCCAGGGCCCACCCTAAGCCCCTTCTCTGGCATTTGTGTGTCAGGGTCCTAAGCCCCAGAGACAGCGTGAGGCCCTCTCCACACTCTGTGTAACTGACAATAAAGACAGCTCGGCGTTGTAAAGGAAGTTCAACAGAACTTCGATCTTTCCATAACAACTATTTTGTTGGTTTTGAAATATCAATTATTAATGTCTCTCCCCAAACGCACACTCTGCCGGGGCCCCGTGCAGGCTTGGGTCTCTCTCGGTGACCTGCCATGGACTCAGCTCATCCAGACACTGGGGCCCACTGGCCAGCCCCAGCTTGCTTTCAGGGAGAGTGCAGGCTCCCAAAAGCCCTTAAGCTACACATGCTCACGTCCATCTAACTCCCCTGCCAAGCTCCTGACGGAGGCAGGAGACCCCAGAAGTCTCCCCAGACCACTAGGCAGGACCACACTGGCCTCAGGCCTGATCCCAGCCACCTCCAAGGGTTCACCTGACCGTGCCATGTCCTTCCTGGGACCTTGTGGGCAGGCTCCCGGCTTGGCTCACCCATAATGTTCCATGGGCGGCTCAACACACAGAACAGGACCCCCAGGCAGAAGTGCCTCCCTTCCACCCACACCCGGGTTTTCACACGAACCCTGACAACAAGAACAGGATGCTGGCTCCCCCCAAGGCGCAGATCTCAACGCCCACCCTACCCACTCACAGGGGCCTCGCCCTCAGTGGCTGAGCCCCGCTCAGTAAGAGAAGGGAGCTCTGCAGGTGGAACAGGCACCATCAGCCTCCACACGCTGAGAACGATCCGACTTCACAACCTGCCCGGAGTGGATGCCAAGGAGAGAGGGGGCTGACTCCGACCAGACCCCCACCAGACCCTGGGGAACAGGGCAGCAGAACCCTGAGCCGTCCGTCAGCAGTCAACACAGCCATAGCAGCCCTTCCCCTTCCCCAGGGAAGCTCCCCTCACTGATCCTGGCTAGACAGACAGACGTGGGGCCGAGCAGCCTCCAGAGGCAGGAGGCGAAGCCGACTTACCGGCCGTGCAGAGCAGAGAGAGGAACAGCCACATCCCGGCTGGAGCGGAGGCAGCTGCGTGCAGACCGAGCCAGGAGCTGCAGAGGAGCCTCAGCTTCCCCTCGTCGGTTTAGGAGGCCAGGAGGCGGGGACAGAGACCAGCAGGCACCCACGGGCAGGCAGGCACTCTCGAGTAGGCACGTTTCTGCTTGTACACCGCCAGCCACGTGGCTTTCTCAGTAGTTGTGGGCTGGTTCCTGGGAGCTTAGAGCCAGCAGTGGGTTCTGCTCCATCACCCACACTTGGACCTACACCCCTGTGGAACGGTGAGCTGAGTGGCAGACGGTGGCCGTGCAGGGGCAATACCAACTCAGCCCATCGTGTCATCCAAGAGTCCCAGTCCCCTGCCCTGCCCCAGGACCACCGCCGGCCACCCTGGCCCAGCTCCCAGCCCAGGGTCCTTGGTGGCAGGGAGACAGGGATCCCGTTCTTCTAGGAACTTCCCCCACCCCGGGCCAGAAACTGGGCTCCTGTACCTGCCTGTGCACTCAAGGCCCTGAGATTATGGAAGGCCAGGAAAGCAGAAAGAACCAAAGCCCTGGCTGGAATCAATGTCTCAGTTCCACGCTGGCTGGATCCTCTTTAAACTCTGGCTACAGCACCCTGGTGCAACCCCTGATTTAACAGAGCCCTGAGCTGCTCAAGTAACAGAAGGGGTGATGTTCCTGCGATCTCACTGCACACCTCTGACCCACCCCAGCCACCAGAGACCGCAGGGCTGACCGCCTGCAGTCCTGTGTGAGGGCCTGCAGGTCTCCTCCTGCACCTCCGCTTCCGGGTTGTTGGGAAGTGCAGGGGGCTGCTCTCCATCTGCACTCTCCAACACAAAGACATCAGTCCCATGTGGCTACTGAGCCCTTGGTAAATCGCCAGTGCAGAGAACTGGACTTTAATCAGGTTCTCTCTCACATGAACATCTACAGCTCCAGGAAGAGCAGTTTTTAGAAATTTATTTTTCTGAAAGGGCAGGAGGGAAGGGTGAGATCTTCTTCCATCCAATGGTTCACTCCCCAAATAACTGAAACAGCTGGGGCCGGACCAGGCTGAGCTGGGGGCCCAGAACTTCAACCCAGGTCTCCCATGTGGGTGGCAGGGACCCAGCCATCATGTGCTGCCTCCCAGGGTGCACATTAGCAAGAAGCTACTCTGCTGGGCACCCTGCCCCAGGGGTGCACTTTGAAATGCGTTAAATAAAGGTAAGAGTGGTGTTGACTGAATGACTAGATGAAAATCAATTTTATCTTCTCACATTGAAAGCTTGCTCGGCCACAGTTCTGTGGAGATCTGATGACACTTTCAAACATTTTTGCATGGCCTGCTTTGGTCTCACCAAAACACCCATGACAAAATCTTAACGTGGCTATTGGGGCAGAAATGACAATTCACCATGTTCCCCTACGGCATACCATCCAGAAAGCGAGTTCGGGTCTGACTTTGCCCCCAGAGCACAGTGCAGGCGTGCACACCTGCTCAGCCTTGTTGCAGGCTATCTTCCTCCACTCCAGGGCTCCGTGACTCTCCTGCCCCCCTCAGCTCATTTTGAGTCCCAAGGACACTAGACCTGGAGGGGGAGGGGAGAAGCCCAAAGTCATAGAGTAGGTCCTCGGAAGGGCAGAGCTGGACGCTGGACTGAGGAGCAGGACTTCGTGCTGAGAGTGTGGACTTGGGGGCACCTCAGCGGGCAAATTCTCCATCTCTGTAGACGTCCAGAACAGACTCATCCTGCATCCATCGAAGATGTATTCGCCCAAGCTTGTCAGTGCCTCTAATCACGAGAACACACAGGGGCCCTTTAAGCCCAACGGACAGTAACTGCTTGCCCCCAACACCCAAACTTCAGGCCCCAAGGTCAGGGCCAGGCTGTGTTGTGTGACGCTCCTCGCTCGCAGCACCTAGGACACAGCTAGGTGTTCACAAATACACACCCTAACCAAGCAAACCTCAAGGCGCCTCCTAACACATCGCAAACACCAAGGGACCCACTTGACAGCCGTTCTATAGCATAAACTTGACTCTTCAAAAACCACATGAAAGGCTCAGGAACCACGCCAGACAAGGCTACAGAACAGATGCTCCCTAAAGGCAGCGCCTGGCCCTGGCCAGACCCCAGACCAGAAAAACGTGGTGGTAACAGTCTCTGAGAGACCGCTGACAGGACAGAGACCTGGACATGACAAGTCGGCAGCTATCATTCTGATAACATGCTGAACACACTTCCTGAACGTGCTGACTCCACTGTGGCCACAGCACACAGCAGGGGTAAAGCTGGGTGGTGCTTGGTGCGTGGTCCAGACAGGGAAGGGAGGAAGGACAAGATACAACGTGGCACAATCCTCGCTCTATCCTTGGAAACGTTCTGTGATCTTTAAATTATTCTAAATTAAAAAAATTGAACAGAACACTCCCAGGTGGAGGGGTGTTCTGCATGAGGCAGGGGCTTCCCTGGGGTCTGTGGGGTCTGCCCCAGCCTGCCCCTGTTGGAACCACCCAACTGCCTGAGTCCTAGGAAGCTGGGGAGAATGCAGAGGGCTGCAGAGTGCTGGGGCCGGGGAGAGAGGAGCATGGAGGGAGGGTAGAGCGTAGAGCAGACGTAACCCCTCGTGGACAGCGCTGGAGTCAGCCTCAGGCCCAAGGCCTTCCATGGAGCCCTCATGTGACCTTCAGTCACCCCACAAAGGCCCCAGTCTCACAGCTGAGGAAGCTGGCTTCCAGAGGGCAAGTACTTTGCCCAAGGCCACATGGCCACTAGGTGGGCAGAACTGGAACTCAGAAGCAGGTCTGTCTGCTCCAGAACCAGGTTGCTGAATGGGTACAAACCCTCCCACCGCGGATCCATGGCTTTGTGAGCTTCTAAACAGCAGAAACCTCATTCTTCAAATTCCTACAGACCAAGCTTGCATCACTGTCCCTCCCCTCCACATACACACCAGGGAGAGTGTATTTGGATTTAGACACAGCTTTTAGGAGGTAATTAAGGTTCTGTGATGTGGTGGGGAAGAGGGTCCTAATCTGATAGGATTGGTGGCCTTAGCAGAAGGGCCTCATGCCACACAGGGGGAGCAGCCGTGAGCCCGCCAGGAGGAGGGCCCTCGCCATGCTGCCACCTCGATCGCAGACTCCAGCCTCCAGATCAGCGAGCAAAATGACTTGTGCATCAGTCCAGACGCTTGTGAGCACCCCATACACATCTTCCTAATAAAAGCCTTGAATGGTGTGTGTGCACGTCCTGGGGGCTGGGAGGATGATGGAGCAGGGAGGGGACTCTCTTGTCCATCACAGCCGAGGGGCTGGGAGAAGGGAGGACAGCACAGAGCCATGAGATCAAGGGTCCAATGTCTCAGTCTCATGCTCGTCCCAACCCCTTCCTGTCTCACACGGGAGTGAGCCAGGCAAACCCTTTATCTGACAGGCAGGGGACGGAGGCCCGGGGGGTGAGGGGACCTGCTGTCTTTCCTACTCGGCAGAATGACTCCCTGGGCCTGGCCCAGGCCGCTGTCCTATCCAGCCTTCCCCAAAAGGCGTTCCGTCTGCGGCAGACGTGCTGCCTGTGGCTCCCACCTGCTCTGAGGAGCACTTGCCCACGAGAAGACAGACGAGGGGCGAATTAACCAGACGCTACAAGAATGCCACACAGGCACAGAAAGCCCTGTCTCCTCCCCTGCCCTCCTCCAGGGGTCAGGGTGACAATGAGGTCTCAACGACTTCGGGATCTGGCCACCCTGGGAGGGCCGCTGGAGTTGCTCAAGCAAGCAGTTAAGAGTCCCCAGGCAGGGTCCTGGCTTTGGGAGGAGAAACGCCACCCACCCTGCAGTTTCACTTCCAGCAGTCAGCTCTCACTTCAGTGCCTGTCAACCGCTTAAAACAGGCTTCGGGGCCACGTCTCACCGCTCCGAGCAGCGTCAGTTCCACCAAACAGTCACGGTGTCCCACTGGGAAAAAAGCAGCGGCGGTAGTTTTTCTTCTAAGCTTTATTTTATAAACATGTAAGAAAAGTTCTAGATGTTCATTGTTGGTCAGATTATGCAGTAACAGTCTGCCTCGAAGCGAGCATGCTATTCTCAAGGTTACCAAAAGCATTCTCTCCTTTTAGATCTTAAAAGAAAAAAAATGCTGTAGCTTCTAATTTACTTCCTATGACATAAGGTTTAAAAGCAAATATTTATGTATCAAACTTCTTCGTGCAGCAATTAAGTCACCTACGAAGCCACGATTTGCTGCTGACTTTAATCCAAAGTGCGTGGTGGCCTTCCACCATGACCGCATCAGGGCTCCCTGGGGGGTTTCATGAGTACTGCGGTAGGTAGGGGAGGGGCTGCGGGAAAGAGCTGTACCTCTCACCTGCTCAGCAGTGCCTCCTTGGGGCTCCTCCCCTACCTGCTGGCTGCTTCTTCTCCTATGCGGGGCCCATGCGCACTTTTCTGAAAAGCATTCTGGGCTATATGCACGATTCCCCAGCCAGTGCTTACAGAACTGTGTAACTTGCTGTGACAGCCAGCTCGTCAAAATCTGAGGTTTCCTCAGGTCTACTTGTGAGATTTTTTATCCTTAGATGCAATAGCGTCTGCACCCCTGACGAGTCTTCCCTTCTCAAATCAGGTAGTCTCACCTAGAATCAGCACGGCCTGCAGACAACGGTACCCAGCTGGGTTGGGTACACAGCTCCCTCAGTGGGAAGTGCTACTTATTCTGGGCTGGTGCGGTGGGAGGCCAGAGAGAACATGAAGACACCTGCTCCAGAGGAGCGCACAGGCTAGAAAGGAAACTGACGCAGGAAAGTCAAGTGTTGTATGTACACGGAACAAAACCAAGGACTGGCTATGAGGACGCGGGGCCTCAGAGGGTGGAGCCGCTCCTGAGGCCGGAGGGTTTACAAGTTCAGCACGGGCTTATGGAGGTCCCACAACATGGGCGTGGTAGTGGGCTCTGGCCGAGCCCCATGAACAAGTCACACATGGTCCCTGCTCTCACAGAGCTCACAGTCTAACACACACAAACTAGGAACAGGAAATTACAGTCCAGTGTACAGCTGTGCTGGGTTTGGGGGGTACAGTGATTTGGCAGTACATGGGTACACACATCACTTGGTTAAACACAACAGTATTTGTCTGAAAAAGCTGAAAGAGAAAAAAGAGGACAAGGAGAAAGGACAGTGACGTTCAGTTGTTTGAGCACTGGCGGGACCGGGCAAGCCTGTGTCTCTTGCGGCCCCTGCGGCCTGCCTCAGCCCCCAAGCTCCTCTACAGCAAGCTTCTCACCTGAGTGTGGTTCCGACACCTAAAAATAAGCGACTTTTGTACAACAAGTACAACAAGGGCCTAACTGCAGGCCGCACACTTCACCTAGCACAGTGCGCTGCTCCCACACAGGCAGAGCTCACTACAAGACATCTTGCAGTGCGGGCCTTCAACATGGTGCCTTCCCAGGCATTTCCAAGAAGAATTTTGATTACACTCAACTTTACCTTAGGTGCTTACTTTTTAACCTAACCCTAGCGTAAACCAAGAATTCTTCATGACAGGACCACAGGACACAGAAAAGGGGCCCACTTCCTGGCTCTCGAAGCTGAGGGTCACCTCCTAGAGGGGTCCCTAAGACCCTGAAGATGAGGGGAATAAAGAAGGTAAGGCTGAGGCACAGTGGGAGAGAGTGGGAGGTGGCGATATCACTGGGGTAGACAGCAGTGTGTGCAGCCTGGAAGGCTGATGAGCCCAAGATGGAGCCAGCAAACTAGCGAGTCAAGGGCAGGAGAATGGGGAGAACAGACCAGAGAGGCCAGAAGCGATCCTGACCAAATTTATAAGCTAGTAAAGGAGTCTGGAAGTCTGGAATTGATTCCAAGGGCGATGGTGAAGCTTGGGAAAGGTTTCAAGAAAAAAAAATAACAGCATCAGGTCTCTAAGAAAACTCATCCTGAAGCACATGAAAAGACGCCCAACATCATGGTCCTTAAAGAAACACACATCAAACCTACAGCAAGACACCACTTCACATGGGCAAACAGGAAGTGCTGGTGAAGACGTGGGGAAAGTGGGACCCTCACTGGAAATGACACAGCGGCTGGGGAAAACAGGTTGGTATCTCCTCAAAAGGTTAAAGACAGTGACAGTGGCAGTTTCACTCCTGGGTGCAAACCCAAGAGTAATGAAAACACACATTCACATAAAAGCTCACAGCAACATTATTCATAATAGCCAAGAAGTGGACACAAATGTCTACCAGCTGATGAGTGATAAATTAAAAATATGGTAAACAAAAAAAAGACAAAAAAATTCAAACTATGGCATATGCATACAACAGAATATTATTCAGCAATTTAAAAATGAAATACTGATGCATGCTACAACATGGATGAATCTCGAAAATATGTTAAGTGAAAGAAGCAAGTCACAAATACAAGGGTTCATGGAAAATGCATATCATGAAAAAACAAATGTGTGGATCTAAAAACATTTTTTACACCAAAACAAGCTTATCTTCAATTCCATTTTCCATGAATGTCCTGAAGTCTCTTGTAGAGACTTGGTATGTGACTGCACTAACATGAATGTCCAGACAGGTAAATCCACAAAGACGGAAAGCACCTCAGTAGCTGCCAAGGGCTAGAGAACAGGGAACGGGAGAGACGCTAAATGGGTGATGAAAATGTCCAGAAACTGAATATCATGATGGCTGTCCAACTCACACGGGTGAACGCATGCTCTGTAAATCACGTCTCAGTTGAGCTGCTAACACCACAGAAGCCCGTCCCGACTGCAGTGTGCAGAGTGGGAGGGAGATGGGGCAGAGGTGAGTGAAGAGGCTGCTGTGCAGCCCAGTGGGACGGACAGTACTGAACCGGGTGGGGGATCTGCTGGATGAGCCCAGAGGGGCCGGGGGAGAGGGTTTACAGCTTACTGTGGGTTCTAACAAGTTCTCCTGGGAACCTGGTACCAGAGATGGAGAGTGGGAAATAGAAGTGAGGTATCTGCAGTTGCTCTCAAGCAGCAAAATCGTATTTAACATCTCCTACATAGAAGGACTACGAGGGATACAGAAAGCGTGTCGCCCTGCTGCCCACATGGATGGGGAGTGCCATGAGCTGTCCTCACTGCTCATCCGCACTCCTAAGATCCAAAGACAGGGCCTGGACATGCAGGAGGCCCGTGCAACACTACAACGCTGAGTGCCTGAGTGCAGGCTGGGGAGAAAGAAGAAGGGTAAGCAGGCAAATAACTCTGGGAAACAAATGACAGCCTCTGGAGTCACCTGTGCGGGGTGTCTCTGCGGGAAGCGCAAGGCTGCTGCAGTGGCTACACACTGTCCCCCTTCTGTAGTCTTCTTGATCTTTAGCAGGAGACCGGGAGCACCTAAAGGCTCGGGGGCAAAGGGGCCTCAACTACCAGTGGGGGAGGGTCACGACTAAGACAAAAAGGGAGGCCTTTTCTAAACCCTGCGACCAAGCCGGCTGGGACCTTGAACACAAGGACATCTTTGTCTCATTAGGAAAACCAGAGACTGTAAAGGGATGAGGCTAAGTAAGTTCCTATCCACAAGCTAATGCACGCCCTCAGCTGTCTCCTTGAGCCCTCTCCCACCTGCAACAGAAGCCAGCGCTGGGCAGCCCAGGGCAGCACGGCTGAGATGTGCCGACAAGGCCAGAAGCTCTAGAGCAGCCCGCTCGTCTGCCAGGGGGAAAGGGAGGTCCATGGAACACAGCATGGGCTGTCATGCAGGTCTCTGACTCTACCAGCACTCAAACCCTGCCCCTCCTAAGAACCTGACCCTGGGCGAGAAGAGCTGAGAAAGCTCAGATACCTGAGGTCTCAGCTGACAGAGACACCAACATCATACCTTTCGCAGAATCCCAGGAAGCTGGAACCTACAGGGGTTCTGCGCTAAGCTTTCCAAAAGGAGGGGGAGAACAGGGTGACCAACAAAATACAGTACAATGCAGCTTTTGTCGCAGCTTTCAAGTTTCAAAAAAACAAAGCCCTTTGCTTTATTAGCAACATGTTCTGGATTCATTTGGACCCCAGTGGAATCAACTGTCAGTATGGCCATTAGCTCAGCCCCAAGATCTCTGGGGTCCAGGGCTCCAATAGAACACTCCAGGCAGGTGAAGAGCGGAGACAACACAAAAGGGACAAAGGCTTATTATTATCTCTGACTCTTTAAGTTCAAGTGAACTGAACTGAAACACTATTTTTAAGCCTGCAGAAGAAAACAAAGTTAAATACTTCCAGATAAAAATCAGACGACAAATGAATTGATCTCCTTTTTGAAGGAAAATTATCTGAAAGGAGTTTAAAACTAAAGCAACGAAAATTTCTGTAACTAGTATCTTATTTGCAGGTTTTGAAACAGTCTTAGAGTGCCACAACTTGGAAACAGAAAGAATAAATATTAAGGCATCACTTCTAAAGTGATGACAGACAGTTTCCCATCTCGGATGGATGGACCCTTTCCTACAGTGGACCCAAAGCAAGCGGAACTCTACATACAATGAACAAACTATACAGTCTGAGTCATTTAAAAATAATGAGACTCCTCTCTTTGCCTTCTTCCAAAGTATATAATATATATTTAACAGCACAAAAGAAGACACTACTTGAGCTTCCCCTGTAGCCAACAGGAAGAATTTCCACATATAAAAATTAAAAATTTAAACTTTTAAATCATTAATATTTCTTAAACATAATACTTAAAAATTGTTCAACATTAACCCACAACCCCACCCCAGCACAAAAATCAATCCCAAATCCAGAAGTCACAGTTTTTTGTTCCTAAAAATCCCAGCACTGAACATCTTGATCTTCACGTCAAGCTGACAGCCAGAAAGAGGCCTCTAACAGAAATCCCCCGGGGAGGAATGGAAGGGCGATCAATGCTGTGTCTCTTATCTACCTGGGCGGAACTGGTGCACCTCTGAGGTCAGGTCCGTGAGATTCGGCCCCACACTAGGGTCCTGGAAGGGTGAGCTGGCAGCTTCCCTCATCTTCCCCCTCGAAGGCTGTCCAATAAGCACCTGGGAATTGACTTTTCTTGGGAAAAGGGTGCTGGTAACAGCTGTCAGGGCCAAGGCAATAGTGAGAAGTTCAGTTCTCTGCTCTTTGGATGAACTGTGTAAAACATTTCTTTTAAAAGACACAATGTTAAAAATATTAAGAAAAACGTCTACAAAATCTGGAGGGCTGCCTTTTCCTCAAAAGGGTAAAGCTTGTGGGGCGGTGGGAAGAGAATCGAGGGCCCAGAACTACAACTCTGCAGCAAAAGCCAGAGCGATGCCCTTCAAAACTCATCACATTCTTACAGACGTCTTGCGCAAGAGGCAAGAGCTGACAGTGACTGTGTGAGTCAGAGCAGGAGGGCGCCAACTCCTGCAGGGGGAGCTTCCTACTGTGCACCCCACCCTGTGCGAGAAGGTCAGGCCTGAGGGCAGCTGCCACAAGCCCCGGGGGCATCAGGACTCTGCCTCTGAACCAGAGCTGCTTTCCCGACTAACTTCAATCTGGAGAGATGGTAAGTGATCTAACCGGCTCTTCTTTTGGCGAGACTGTTCTTTCTCCTTTATCAGAGCCCCCCATGCCCTTTGCAGCTCGGAGTCATCTTCCTCAGTGCCAGGCGCCCTGTGGTCCACTTTCTTTGTATTCTTTTCTTTGGTCTTGGGTGCAGATCCTAAGCGAGTCCATAAGCCACCTGTTTGGGTGAGAAGGCACTTGAGTCAGCAGTCAATGCCAAGAGCCGGGTAGTGCTGGGGAAGCAGGGGCACTGCCAATGCCTGCTGTACAGGAAAGACCAGTGGCCTGTGGCACTTGCAGCCACAGCACAGCCTTGGGTAGGCAACCCCACTTCCCTGGCTGCAGTTTGGCCTGCAAATGCAGGGCTCTGAACTCAAAGGGATATTGTTACCCTTGGGCATACATCCAAAGAATTACCCAAGAAGCTGTCTCCTGCCACAGCTAGCTGTGCTCCCTGGTGAGACCCACCAGGACCTGCGTACCACTTCAGTCTGCCAGGAGTGGGTGGGCCATTCTCTCATGTGTTTTTAGCTCTAACACTCTGTGAACTGATGGGCCCAGTATACTGTGAACATTCATATTTTCTGCCCACTATCCATTACTTTTTAAAATGTTATCTTATTAAAATCTAACATTAGACAAAAAGTGTGCAAAAAGGGCCAGTGTCATGTTGTAGTGGGTAAAGCCACCACCCATGATGCCAGCAACTCACAAGGGTGCCGGTTTGAGTCCCAGCTGCTCCATTTCTGATCCAGCTCCCTGCTAATGTGCCTAGGAAAGCAGCAAAGGATAGCTCAAGTGCTTGGGCCCCTGCACCCATGTGGGAGACAAGGAAGAAGCTCCTGGCTCCTGGCTTTGGTCTGGCCCAGCCCCAGCTATTGTAGACATTTGGGGAGTAAACCAGGAGATGGAAGAGCTCTCTCTCTCTCTCTCTCTCTCTCTCTCTCTCTCTCTGTAACTCTTTCAAATAAATAAGGGGAAGGGAGGGGAGGGGAGGGGAGGGGAGGGGAGGGGAACTGGGAGTTGCTCAGGACACCATCAAGAAAAAAAAGTGTGCAGCACTTTGGAACAGCCACACTTACAAGTTTCACGTGGGAAAATGATTATAATAAAATGCAATATGGAAGAAGTAGGCTATGTATGAATATGTGGAACAAAGACAGAACACATGAAACTGAAAAAGAATTTGTGCTGAACAGAAAGAACCAGGGTTGTGGGACTTTTCTGTTCTTTTAAACCTTTCTTACTGTTAGGATGATGATGGTGGTGGTGGTGACAACAATTATAACAGAAGAGAAAAAATGGTTCACTCTTGGCATGTGCCATTTCCTGCCTTATGCTTCTATGCTAACCCATTTGCCCTCCGCTCTTACCCAAACCCCTCCCAGCAGATTTAAGTGTCACCATGTCACCAACCTGACTTCTTCTCTCGAGTATCTGAGTAGAGGCCTTTAATATCTTGCCTGGGAACACCTAGCCGACTGTGCACATCAGAAGAGGGCTCTCTCCGAGCAACTGGGTTACCACTAAAAGCCTTCTCTGGAGAATATGGTCTTTTTCCTAACCGCTGGCGTATATCTGGAAAAGAGAAAAAGCACTGTGACCACGTGCGTACTTTACCACCTGTGCCGATGACTGGAGCTCCCCTGAAGGGGACTGGGCACCCGACACGCTCGGGCTTCTAAAAGGCTTTTCTTTCCAGAATCTGTTTGCATGTCTCTAAGAAAATTTGGAGATAAAGGCCACTAGACGAGGAGAATCTCTGCTGATTCTCCAGAAAAAAATGTTTGAAGGAGAATCAATTTTTTTTTGGTAGAACCAAGCAAATTAAATAATTGCAGCAAAAAATTTCAACTAACAAACAAAACTACAAGTTCCTAAGAGCAGAAGCCACAATCTAAACACGTAAGTAGTTTCCAATAAACTTACTATATGTAACCAATAAATATAATGAGACAGGAGAAAGCAAAGGATCAAGACGACACACACACACACACGCACACACACTTCGCCCACCTCACTGAAAGCTCTCTGATAGCAGCACGCATTTCTCGCATGACTCTGGCTGAGCCCTTGGTTTCTCCAACTTTCTTCCCATGATGCCCAGTACCGAATCTTCCTTCATGGGGCTTCTTGTCCTCATTGTCTCCACTGTCCTTGACCTAGATCAGGCCCTTGTTACTTAAACCACCCCCAAGTTATCTTTCTAAAGCCGGTATATGGTCAAAAAATCAGGCTTGCCGATTGAGCCCTGTTCCCTCTCCAAGGCCTAGCTCTGAAGCCCCCTTCCCTGAGACGCCTTCCACTGTTCTCCCTGGAGGTCAACGGTGTGCCCTCCGAGGACTCGGAATGTTCCCAGTCTTGGAGTCCTGGCCCAGAGCAGGCACAGTCACATGCTCGCTCTAGGAGTGTCTGGGCACATCAATGATCCAGATCAAACTCCTAACCACTTACACAACCACTCAACTTAATTTCTATGATTCTTCTGTATAAACTATGTTAATGGCATATAGAGTAAAAGAAGTGTTTGGGACAAAAATACTGAAAGCCTGTCTGGCAAAAGTCTGTTCTTCACATCCTAAAGCAGCACAGCATCATCACAAACAGAACGTTCAGCCCCGACCCCGTCCCTGCCCCGATCTGCGTGCCGGAGCTCAGATGAAGAATACCACCTGATTTTGTACTGCTGCCAGGTGGCCGTGGACGTGAATGCTGGCGTTTTTCATCTAACAGATGCCGTACATCTGCAAATTTCTCAGTTGGTAATTTGCTACCAATTCGGTTTTTGATATTGCTTGTGGAAATGCTATCTGCCTTCATGGAGTTCCTTTAAAAATAAAAAAGGCACAGTTAATCCACTTCGGAGAAAATGATTTTTAAGAAATCCAATCCAAAGGCCAGGGTTGTGGCATAGCAGGCAAAGCTGCTGCCTGCAATGCCAGCATCCCACATGAGTGCCAGTTCAAAGTCCCAGCCACTCCATTTCCAATCCAGCTCCCTGCAAATGTGCCTCAGAAAGCAGCAGAAGATGGCCCAAGTCCTTGGGCCCCTGCACCCATGTGGGAGACCCAGAAGCAGCTCCTGTCTTTGGTCTGGCCCAGCTCCAGCCATTGCAGACATCTGGGGAGTGAACCAGAGGATGGCAGATCTCACTATCTTTCTATCTCAGCCCTTCAAATAAATCAAATGGAAACAAAACAAAACAAAAAAACAAAAAAAACCACAACACGACACAGTCAGAGTCTATTGTCCCTTCTTCTGGTCAAGGAAAACTTCTAGGTCAAAGAGATCTATTACCACGCTAGGTGCAGCATGATTCTGGCAGCAGTTTCTATCAGAAGGGTCTCTGAAAACTAAACATACAAATGTAAACAAGGTCATACAAACAAATCAACATGAAAAGTCTTTTTTTTTTATTCCATCTAATATGCCTCCAAAGGCACCTTAGAGACACCAGACCTAGACTCTAACCCTTGGAGCTATAGATACACCACATGCTCAGCCCTACTAATAATAAAGAAATGCACATTCACGGGGCCGGAGCTGTGGCATAGTGGATAGAGCCGCCACCTCCAGTGCTGGAATCCCATATGGGCGCCAGTTCGAGTTCCAGCTGCTCCACTTCCCATCCAGCTCTCTGCTGTGGCCTGGGAAGGCAGTGAGAGATGGCTCAAGTCCTTGGGCCCCTGCACCTAGAGGTCTTCCTCTGGAAGACCCAGAGGAGGCTCCTAGCTCCTGGCTTTGGATCGGTGCAGCTCTGGCTGTTGTGGCTAACTGAGGAGTGAACCAGCCAATGGAAGATCGATCTCTCTCTCTCTCTCTCTCTCTCTCTCCTCTATCTGTGTAACTCTTTCAAATACAATAAATAAATCTTTAAATTTTAAAAAAGAAGAAGAAATGCGCATTCACATAACCTTTCCTGTTACTGTTAGTGAGTAAAGATGCTAACACCTAAGGCTGGTGAGACCGTAGCTAACAGGTGGCAATGTGAATGAGAAAACCCTTCTAAGAGGAATTCAGCAATGCTTATCACATTGTAAAACATGCATCTGCTGTCAAACAACTAAAGAATTTAACTAGTTAGTGAGAGAGTAAGAATACAGACCAAAATGCCTAGCAACGATGGATTAAAGAACCATACTTTCAAACAATGAATTACTTGCAGTCGAGTAAAATAATAGATGGCTATGATATATAAAATGGGAAAAGCACAGCACAAACACCAATAGCTCAAGCTCATTTGATACAAATACGTCTACAGTCTTTTCCTTTAGTTGTGCAGATACATGAAAAACAGCTGGCCGCTCATTCACCTAACTGCTGACAGCCGCTGACATCAGGAGAGGACAGCGATTTCATTTCTATTCTGTCTACAGTTTTCACACAAGGATCGCCGCTTGTACACAGGGAAAATCGGCTGTTTCATTCAACTGCTACAAAGGACTAAAATTAGAATAGATAAATGATCATAAGATTAAGAGGAATTGACAAACTTGTAATTAATACTTAAAATCAAATTAGAAGCTAAAGTTGAAAAAGTTTTAAAAAAAGCACCGTACCTAATACTCTTCAACTGAGATTCCACTTCATCAGCATACATAGTCATTTTCATGCTTTTCTTTGGTGAGGGAGTGGAAATCATTTTCAGTTCGAGATCATAGTCCATTTCATCCGAGTCTGAGCTGCTGTCACTCGACCGCCTGGATGCGCTCCGCTCCCGTGCCTGCCTGACAGCCGGGAGCTCCTCGTGGTACTCTACCACCACCCTGTCGTCTGCATCCATGTCCTGGTCCTCCTCCTCCTCCTCCTCTTCCTCCTCTTCAATGGGCTCCTCAGGAACATTCACCAGTCCTGAAGAAATGTAACCAAGACCATCAGGAAAAGCACTAACATTCCATTCCAACCTGTGACCTTCTGATAAGATGAGGTCTCCCTCCAAGATTTTACTGGTGCACTGCCTAGAACAGTGCCAAACTGGATACCAACGCGATGTCTACAGCCCAAGAACAGTCTGATCAAGTATGACTGAGCAGCCTAGCGGAATACTGTAAAGTCACTTAAAACACAGTAAACCTCCATTACTCACAGGTTTTATATTTCTGACCTTGGCAAATTTACTGGTAGCTCCAGAATCAATACCTGAAGTATTTCCACCGTCATTTGCAGAGGAGTACAGAGCAACAACAACAAAAACCTAAGTCAGCAGACACACACATTCCCACACAAAGCAACAGCTCTCTGCTTATTTCATCCTCAGCCTGTACACAGGCATCCTTTCCACAGTCTACTGAGGGCCACCTGTCCTACAGCCCTGTGCTTTTTGCTTAGGTAGCCCCCTGTTTCAAATGGCCCCTAGGCGTGGCACTGAAAGGGGTCCAGTGCCCTTAAGCACAAGGCAGCTCTAATCTGTCTTTGCAGGGAAACCGCCTGCGTGAAATGAGCCTCACTTAGGCAAGTCACAAGGCTGGTGGTTCTGAATTCAGCTAATGAATCAGTAATTAATTTACATATACAAATAACACATTTCCTTTATTAAAAAAAGTGTCTTCAAACAGAAAACCATATAAAAAACCAATTCTACATACTAATCAGTTGAGGCAAATGGTGTGACCACAGGCTTTACATGGATCAGTACTTGCTGATTCAGTGTTCCCTAACTGTATTTACAGAATACACTCACCTCAAACAACAAAAATTAACTGTAATTTTAAAGTTAAAGGAAGAACACTTATGGTAAGAGGAACAAGCAAGATGGAAATTATATATTCACAAGGATTATAATATTGGCCGGCGCCGCGGCTCACTTGGCTAATCCTCCGCACCCACATGGGAGACCGGGAGGGAAGCGCCTGGCTCCTGGCTTCGGATCAGCGCAGTGCCGGCCGCAGTGGCCATTTGGGGGTGAACCAACGGAAGGAAGACCTTTCTCTCTGTCTCTCTCTAACTCTGCCTGTCAAAAAAAAAAAAAAAAAATTATAATATCTACTATTAAAAGAGACAAATGGGAAAAATATAAAAAATGAAATCAGTTGTTCCATTAGCATGCTAGAATTAGAGGTAATTTGCTTTTTGATATATTTAATAGGAATAGAAAAAGTATATGATAAAAATATCTTAAAGCAACTGAAATTGGAAAAATGTAACTATACTAAAAAGTATGTACATTATTAATATGCAGCTCTCAAACATGAAATTTTGTATATTTGCATTAAATAAAAATGTGCAGATTTCATCTCTTCCTATCTTACTACAGGACATACATGTTGCCTGTTACCTGTCTGTATGCTGCCTTGGCACACTAAAAATTCTACAGTAGGTTAACATAATGAAAATGGTTCTTTCATAAAAAGCACCTCCCATGAAAAAAAAGGAGAAAGTAACTGAGACACGACACCCCACTTTTCTGAGGCGCCCTCGTGCACAAGACAGTAAGTTTAAAGCCCTCAACACAGCAGCCTAGTTTCATTATCAGAAAGGGAACAATAAAATCAGATCATCTTATGAAATAACCTGAAAAATTGTTTTTCATGCAGCTGTCGATATTCACAGAAGAATCAGGTTCCTAAGGAAAGTTTTATTTATTTTCCCTATGTCGCATTTGGTCTTTTTTGTTAGAACAGCTTTATAAAATCACTTGACCTCTTGGTAAGCACAATTTAAAATTAACTGTGACTTGACTGACTTTCCTATATGTTGGCAGAGGGTGAAGGCAAGAAAGAGAGGATGATAAAGTTTGGAACCTTAAAAGACTGTATTAAGAATAAAAATATGATTTTGCGAGCCAAATATGTGTCTACCAAGAGCTGAGCACGCAACTACCGGAATGTCGATGTTTATACGATGTCAAGCCAACGTCATCCCCAATCAGAGCTCGCTTCTTGATCACATCCCGCTGAATGCGACGGGAATGGTATCTTCGCTTCCTGTAACATTGGCAAAACAAGAACATCATCAAAACCGATAGGAGGACCTTGAAACCCGCTAATTCATTTTAACTAAACCCTGACACAATGTTAGGGGCTGAAATAGAGATCCTTTTAATGACAAGGACACTCAGCATCCTCACACCATTTACCACATTAACAAACATGAATTCATCCCTCCCGTCTTCCCTTCAGTCCTGAGCTTTTGATATTCCCCTACAGAATAGTATCCAGGGCTGCCATTGTGGTGTAGCAGGTTAAGCCGCCACCTGTAATGCCAACACCCCATATGGGTGCTGGTTCGAGTCCCAGCTACTCCACTTCTGATCCAGTTCTCTGCTAAATGCACCTGGGAAAGTAGCAGAGGATGGCCCATTTGGGGAGTGAACCAGTGGACAGAAGGTCTATCTCTCCTCTCTCTAATTCTTTCAAATAAATAACACCATCTTTTTAAAAATTCAGAAAGGCTTAAGTCCTACTTAAACAATTGAACTTTATGGCTTTTGACTCACCAAGAATTGCTAAGAATTCCTTTCATGCCTCCATAATTAGGATTCCCATATTTCATGTAGTACTGACTCCTTCTGGCTGCTCCAAGCTCCTTTTTGTCATCTAAAAATCAATTACAACAGTTATCTAGGATTTCCTGTGGATGTGAGGACAATGTTGAATGGTTTAAAAAATAAGTTTTCTACAGCTGAGATCAGATCAGTGCAATCAATGAATCAGGAGAGATTCACAGGGCCAGTGCTGTGGATAGCGGGTAAAGCTGCCACCTGCAGTGCCAGCATCCCATATGGGCGCTGGTTCCAGTCCCGGCTGCTCCACTTCCCATCCAGCTCTCTGCTATGGCCTGGGAAAGCAATGGAAGATGGCCCAAGTCTTTGGGCCCCTGTGCCCAAGTGGGAGACCCGGAAGAAGCTCCCGGCTCTTGGCTTCAGACTGGCCCAGCTCTGGCCATTGCGGCCATTTGGGGAGTGAACTAGTGGAAGGAAGACTCCTCTCTCCCTCTCTCTTTCTGTCTCTTTCTCTCTCTGCATCTCTGTAACTCTTTCAAATAAATAAATAAGTCTTAAAAAAAAAAAAAGACAAAAGGAAAGATTCACTATATTCACTCTGAATGCCTACTAAGCCAATGTAGTGTGGGAGGCATAGAGGTAAATAGAGATGACCAAGGTAAAGCTGTCATGTAGATGACTAACTTACCAGGAAAAATGCTTAAAATAAAAATAAAAGTAAAATTCTCAGATGCGTGAGCCTGACCTGTCTAAAGCTGCCCCTGAAAGACTCTTGCTTGTGAATCACAACACTCTAACATAGAATAAGAGAGAAAGAAACAGACGAGACACAATTCCATATATTTAGTGCATCTTTTTTTTTCTAGCTAATTGTACGGTTCTTCAAAAAGGCTTAAAAAAAGCCTGCATAATGCTATACTTTCCGTGTGTACTCAACAGCCACTCCAGTGGAATGTACACGTGAAAAAAATCAGATTCATCAGGTTCAAACGCCAGCCACCAGTGAGGAAAGGTGATCAGGGCTAACACGTTTTATCAAAAGCAGTAAAGGCCCCTGACACCTCCACACACACTCTGACTGTCGAGGACAAACACCATGGTAATGCAGCCAGTGCAAAACACACCAGCAGTGCACACTTCCCAGAAAAGAAACACCCACCACTTCCTTCATTCCAGATTTGGGGCAGGTAAGTATAACCTGCATCTAGAAAATCACAATGGTGGGGCCGGCACTGTGGCACAGCAGGTAAAGCGCTGCCTGCAGTGCTGACATCCCATATGGGTGCTGGTTCAAGTCCTGGCTGCTCCACTTCCAATCTAGCTCTCTGTCATGGAAAGCAGTGGAAGATGGCCCAAGTTCTAAGGCCCCTGCAATCAGGTGGGAGACCCAGAAGCTCCTGGCTTTGACCTGGCCCAGCTCTGGCCACTGGGGTCATTTGGGGAGTGAACCAGTGGATGGAAGACCTCTCTCTCTGCCTCTGCCTCTCTATAACTCTGCCTTTCAATAAATCAAATAAACCTTAAAAAGAAAAAAAGAAAGCAAATCACAACAGTTTGTGTTGTGCAGGAAAGTAGGAAAGCAGACGAAGAATGATGGGGCAAGTCTAGAGTCAAAACACAGCCTGAAGGGGCTTTACTGGCCCAATCCAGAAGCATCTGTTTATCAAAATAATGACAGCAATGCACGATAATCCACCAAATAAATAAGAATCCAGGAGTCTAAACAGATAATAAGTAAACAGATACGTAACAAAGGCAGACTGCCAATCAATAAAGAAACGATGGAGTTAGAAATCATCAATGATGTTAATGCTACTGCCTGAAAGTCTGACCTGCAGCCAGCACTGCATAATCTGTTCTCTCCCATTATAAATGGAAAAACAGTAAATTTACAGTGAAAAGGCAGAGTGAGAGAGAATGATCAATCTTCCATCTGCTGGTTCACTTCCCAAATGGCTTGCCTTTTTTTTTTTTTTTTTTTTTTTTTGACAGGCAGAGTGGATAGTGAGAGAGAGAGACAGACAGAGAGAAAGGTCTTCCTTTGCCATTGGTTCACCCTCCAATGGCTGCCATGGCTGGCGTGCTGCAGCTGGCGCACCGTGCTGATCCGAAGGCAGGAGCCAGGTGCTTCTCCTGGTCTCCCATGGGGTGCAGGGCCCAAGCACTTGGGCCATCCTCCACTGCACTCCCGGGCCACAACAGAGAGCTGGCCTGGAAGAGGGGCAACCGGGAAAGAATCCAGCGCCCCGACTGGGACTAGAACCCGGTGTGCCGGCACCGCTAGGTGGAGGATTAGCCTAGTGAGCCGCGGCTCCGGCCCCAAATGGCTTTCAATAGCCAGGGCAGGGTCAGGCCAAAGCCAGGAGGCAGGAACTCCATCCAGATCTCAGACGTGGGTGGCAGGGCCACTTGGGCCAAAACCTGCTGCCTTCCCAGGTACATTAGTAGGAAGCTGGACCAGAAGCAGAGCAGCCGGGACCCAAACTAGCACTCCAAAATGGGATGCCAGTGTCACAAGCAGCAGTGGTTTAACTGGCTACAACACAACACCAGCCCATCACTACTCTAACTAAGTGAAAAAATAACATCCTTGGAAAGGGGACAAACAAATATCATGTGTCCCCTGACATGATGAACTGAAAATGGCTGATTTATCACCAATATGGTATGCTCACATCAAATGCACAACCTAAAACTAATTAGGAGGAAACACCAAACTGAGGGGCATTCTATCTATTAAATAATGAGGCCATACACTCCAAAACTCTCAGTCAAGGAATGCACAATAGAGTCATTGCAGATTAAGAGACTAAGAAGGGCCAGCGCCGCAGCTCAATAGGCTAATCCTCCGCCTAGCGGCGCCAGCACACCGGATTCTAGTCCCAGTTGGGGCGCCGGATTCTGTCCCAGTAGCCCCTCTTCCAGGCCAGCTTTCTGCTGTGGCCCGGGAGGGCAGTGGAGGATGGCCCAAGTGCTTGGGCCCTGCACCCCATAGGAGACCAGGAGAAGCACCTGGCTCCTGGCTTCAGATCAGCGCAGTGCGCCAGCCGCAGCGCGCCAGCCGTGGCAGCCATTGGAAGGTGAACCAACGGCAAAAGGAAGACTTTTCTCTCTATCTCTCTCTCTCACTGTCCACTCTGCCTGTCAAAATAAAAAATAAATAAATAAATAAATAAAAAAGAGACTAGGGGACCAGTGTTGTGGCACAGTGGGTTAAGTCATTGCTGCATCCCAAATGGGCACCGGTTCAAATTTTGGCTGCTCCACTTCCCATCCAGCTCTCTGCTTTGGCCTGGGAAAGCAATGGAAGATGGCCCAAGTGCTCGGGCCCCTGCACCTGCATGGGAGACCCAGATGAAGCTCCTGTCTCCTGGTTTTGGCCTGGCCCAGTCCCAGTCATTGTGGCAACTGAAAGTGAACCACTGGAAAAAGAGCTCTCTTTCTCTAACTCTTCCAAAATAAATTTAAAATAAATCTTAAAAAAAAAAAAAAAAGAAAGAAAGAAAGAGAGACTAAGGAGATAAGACACAATACTCAGTCCTGGAGTGGATCCTAAACCTGGGGTGAGGGACTCTATAAAGGACAATTTGGGAGACAGAAGAAACCTGACTATGGATTAGATGGCAGTATTGTACTTAATGTTAAATTTTCCAATCTTGATAACTGCTCTGTATAAGAGTGTCCTTGTTCTCTGGATATACACACCGAGGGGGTAATGGGTATTATCTCCGACTAACTCTCAAGTGACTAAAAACACAGATGTGGATGTATACATACTTGTGTACATAGGCACACTCAGCCTAAGGCGCCTTAGTGAACCATGGACTGTCTACACAACAGTGGCCCCAGACCACCACAACAGCTAATGTGTTCTATGATCTAGTGAGGTGGTAATGCCCATTAGTCACACCTTTGTGGAATGCTGGTGTAACGAATCCGCTGTGCCGCCAGCTGCATAGAACAGCAAGTTACATGTAATACATCAAACTTGGTAATGATAATAAATGACTGACTCCCTGGTTTATGTGTTTATTATACCATACTTTCATCAGCCTTACAGTACATTCCTCTGTTTCCTGTCAAACAGTATGTCACGTCCCAAAGCCAGCAACCTCACACACCTCATGTTTCTAGCTCTTGACTGCATCAAGAGGCACAATGAGTGATTAACAGGGGATAGCCCACTTTTCTGAGACATTTGTGTGCATAAGCCAATGAGTGTACAGCACTCAATTCAGCAGCTTATTTTCATTATCAGAAAAGGAACAGTAAAATCAATTCATCTGATAAAATAATTTTAGACATTCTAACAATCATCTAGGTTTGTGTAAGTATGATGTTCACATAGCAACAAAATCACCTAACAATGCATTTCTCAGCTTGTGTCCCCGCTATCCAGCAACATCTGACTTGGATGAGTTTGTGTGTGTGTTTCTAATACCCACCAAAGATTACTATGCATAAAATGTCTCGTGAGAGGGAATTAGAGTTGAACGGTAAGTTAGCATGTACATCAACAAGGATCTTGGTATGATAAATTTACATACTCTGGTTTCTCTTCAGATCGAATAAATCTTTTGCCTTTTACTAAAAAAAAAAAAAAAAAAAAAAAAAAAAAAAAAATTTACAGTCTGGGCTGGCGCTGTGGCACAGCAGGTTAACGCCCCAGCCTGAAGCACCAGCATCCCATATGTGTGCCGGTTCTAGTTCCGGCTGCTCCACTTCCAATCCAGCTCTCTGCTGTGGTCTGGGAAAGCAATGGAAGATAGCCCAAGTCCTTGGGCCCCTGCACCCATGTGGGAGACCCAAAAGAAGCTCCTGGCTCCTGGCTTCAGATCAGCACAGCTCTGTCCATTGCGGCCATCTGGGGAGTGAACCAGCAGATGGAAGACCTCTCTCTCTCTCTGCCTCTCCTCTCTCTGTGTAATTCTGACGTTCAAATAAATAAATCAATCTTTTTTTTTTTTTTTTTTTTTTGACAGGTAGAGTTAAAGACAGTGAGAGAGAGAGACAGAGACAAAGGTCTTCCCTCTGTTGGTTCACCCCCTAGATGGCCGCTATGGCTGGAGCTATGCCGATCCGAAGCCAAGAGCCAGGTGCTTCCTCCTGGTCTCCCATGCAGGTTCAGGGGCCCAAGCACTTGGGCCATCCTCCCCTGCCCTCCCGGGCCACAGCAGAGAGCTGGACTGGAAGAGGAGGAACTGGGACTAGAACCCAGTGCCCATATGGGATGCCGGTGCCACAGGCAGAGGATTAGCCAAGGGAGCCATGGCACCAGCCCCCCAATAAATAAATAAATCTTTCAAAAAAAATTTACAAAGTCTAATTTTAAAGTTTTCAAAGTTCAGATGGTAACTGGCTAAGAAGCATTTAGAGTAAACCAGCTTTAACAGAAATAATCTACTTCAGCCAGAAGTCACGAAAATACACAATTAACTTTCACTTTCAAAGGCACAAATTCCTACTCAGGCAGCAAGCTGTTATTTCATCAGCACAGAATATCACACTTTTAAGGGAATTTTGAGATGACCTGACCTAACGTCTAATCAGAAGAGAAAGACGCCATTCAATCATTAATCATTTGATTAAAAGTAAAAATCAGTATCAAATTTACCTTTTGTAGCAAATCTCATGAACAATCTATTTCCTTTAGCTAGTTTGTTAGCTGGACGAAGATCGTTTCTTAACAGAGACTCTTCTTCTACCTGAGACAATGTGTCCAACTTAACAAAAGAGAAACACATTTTCAACATAAAAATTAGTCACTAGTATTTCCTTAGTAGCTAAATTACCATCAAGACAGCACTGAATCCATCAGCGTTGCAGCACCAGTTCCTCTGCAGAATTTCCAGGTCAGAGGCTTCCCACACCACCTTGTCTAAAGCAACAGTCCCATCATCCTCTGCCCCCACCCTCCCTTTTCTGCACTGCACTCACTCCCTCCTGACGGTCCATCATCTAAGGACCTGTGCACTGTCCAACTTCCCACCAGAAAGTAGGTTCTGAGAGGGTAATGAGCTTTGTTTTGCTTCATTCCATATCTTTAGCACCTAGAACTTGGTATACAGTAGGAACTTGGCAAATACTTTAGAAATGAATATTCAAATATTTCCAACAATAGTATACAAATCATTAGTAAATATACCATCACTTAATGATGAAATACTTTAAAGTACTTCTCAATAAAGCCATTTTCTTTGACACAGAAGTGTGAGCACTACTCTAGATCTCAAGATGAACTGTTACAGTTATTTTAAAGGCCAAGAGCCTGATGCACCCCCAAAAGGTTTTATGGTAAAAGCTAGCACAGTAAGAAACTTTCACAATAAAACCTTACACATTATTTCGCCCTATTACTAACCTCTGCGTCACTTGGGTTTTCATCTTCAACTTCTCCTTCTTCAGCCTCATCATCATCTGAGCTGTCCTCCTGCTTATCTAAAATGGAATGTGAGGAAGACGATGAACCTTAGTGTCAGTCCATCTTATATCATGGTAAAGGAACATCCTTTCTACTGAGGGTCCAAAGCATTCAAGCTAACATCAGACACACTCATTGACGGGATGTTTCAATGCTCTGCTCTGTAACCCAAAGCCCAAAACAAGACTGTGCAAAACAGGACTTTTAGGCCACAGGTCCCACCTTTGTGCTCAGTTACCTTTCTTACTTTTCTCAGATGACTTGTCTTCACTGGCGTCCCTGCTTCTTATCTTATCCTGGGCTGGCAGAGAACTCATATTAATAAGGGCTCGTGTGGCTGTCATTTCATCTAGCCAAACCACATTACCTAAAATAAAATGTAAAATAAAATATCACATTGTGCCCAAATGGTTATTTTCCTTTTTAAAAGATTTATCTGTTCATTTGAAAGGCAGAGCTACAGAGAGAGGGAGAGACAGTGAGATCTTTCACCCCCTGGTTCACTCCCCAAATGGCCATAGCTGGGGTGACCAGGAGCCAGGAGCCCCAACACTTGGGCCACCTTCCACTGCTCTCCCAGGAGCATTAACAGGGAGTTGGATCAGAAGCGGAACAGCCAGGACTCAAACCAACACCCATGTGGGTTCCCAACACTGCAGGCAGTGGTTTTACCTGCTATGCCACAGTGTCAGCCCTGGTTTTATTTCTGGAAAGCAGATCAAATTCACTGTTGCGGTCTCATCCAGCTACAGACTGCCATCAGTCAACATACACACCAAAAAATGAACACAAGTGTAGACGCTGGCGCCGCGGCTCACTAGGCTAATCCTCCGCCTGTGGTGCCGGCACACCGGGTTCTAGTCCCGGTTGGGGTGCCGGATTCTGACCCGGTTGCCCCTCTTCCAGGCCAGCTCTCTGCTGTGGCCCGGGAAGGCAGTGGAGGATGGCCCAAGTGCTTGGGCCCTGCACCCCATGGGAGACCAGGAGAAGCACCTGGCTCCTGGCTGTGCCGGCCGTGGCAGCCATTTGGGAAGACCTTTCTCTCTGTCTCTCTCTCTCACTGTCTAACTCTATCTGGAAAAAAAAAAAAAAAAAAAGGAAGGAAGGAAGGAAACAAGTGTAGAGAGTAGACAGTAGTAGCACAGTCTGTTTTTTAAAAATAATCTATTGGGGCCAGCACTGTGCATAGTAGGTAAAGCTGCTGCCTGCAGTGCTGGCATCCCATATGGGTGCAGGTTCGAGTCCCTGCAGCTCCATTTCCGATCCAGCTCTCTGCTATGGCCTGAGAAAGCAGTGGAAGATGGCCAAGTCCTTGGGCACCTGCACCCGTGTGGGAGACCTGGAAGAAGCTCCTGGCTCTAGACAGGCACAGCTCCAGCCACTGTGGCCATCTGGGGAGTGAACCAACAGATGAAAGATCTCTCTCTCTCTCTCTCTACCTCTCTGCAACTCTGTCTTTCAAATAAATAAATAAATCTTAAAAAAAAATAATCTATTTTTAAATGTCTTTTTAAAAAATTTATTTATTTGAAAGACAGAGTTACAGAGAAAGAGAAGAGACAAGAGAGAGATCTTCCACCTGCTGGCTTACTCCCCATATGGCCTCAACAGTCAGGGCTAGGCCAGGTTGAAGCCAGAAGCCCAGAACTCAGTTCAGGTCTCCCACATGGCTGGCAGCGACCCAAGTACTTGAGACATCACTGCTGCCTCTTAGGGTACACACCAGCAGGAAGTTGGAACTGGAAACAGAGCTGGGACTTGAACCCAGGCACTCCAGTATGGGATGTAGACATCCCCAGAGGCATCTTAACCATTGCACCACACACTCAACCCATAAAATCTCTCCTATGAAATTAGTTGGGGCCAGCACTGTGGCATAGCTGCTAAAGCCACCGCCTGCAGTGTTGGCATCCTATATGCATGCCAGTTCGAGTCCTGGCTATTCCACTTCTGATCCAGCTCTCTGCTATGGCCTGGGAAAGCAGTAGAAGATGGTCCAAGTCCTTGGGCCCCTGCACCTGTGTGGGAGACCTGGAAGAAGCTCCCGGCTCCTGGTTTTGGATAGGCCCAACTCCGGCTGTTGTGGCCATCTAGGGCATGAACCAGCAGAGGGAAGACTTCTCTTTCTCTCTGCCTCCCAAATAAATAAATAAATAAGGAAGGAAGGAAGGAAGGAAGGGAGGAAGGGAGGAAGGGAGGAAGGGAGGAAGGGAGGAAGGGAGGAAGGAAGACGAAGAGAAGAGAAGAGAAGAGAAGAGAAGAGAAGAGAAGAGAAGAGAAGAGCTGAGCCGAGCCGAGCCAGGATCATTAGCAGAAGCAATCCATACAGTGTTTATGGGTGCTCTCCTGCCACCTTGGCAGAGCCGAGTACATGTGACAAAGACCATGTAGCTTGCAAAGATTCAAATATTTACTGTCCAGCCCTTTATAGAAAAAGGTTTGCTCATCTGATCTGGACAGCATAAAGTTAAGCAGAAAGGAAAATGAAGAAAAATATTTTTCTCAGTCGTGTTTCTTCTTTCAATGACAACACTGATTCAACATTCAGCAAGTCGTCAAGAAAGCCAGGTGGCTATCTGGGGTACTGCCTGCAGGCAGCAAGTCAAGTCAGCCCAGTCCTGGCGTGGGGAAGCAAGATCAAAATTATAGTTAGCCCACAAGTTGGACAACTCAGTACTTGGCAAGCAGATGACGTTCCAGAAAACACAGTTCAAATGTGAGCAGAGGTGAGTCTGGTATTCTGGTCTAGTTCTAGGTCCCAAACACTGAGGCAGAGCCAGCCCTCTGAATAACTCTATGACAAGTAGCCATGACAACATGCAAGCCCTGAAAATGCAGCCCTTAGTCAGGAAACCTGGGTGTTAAAGAAGCCACATCATGTATACTAGACTCAGACACTGGCCACCAGCCTCCTAGGGCCCCAGGCACCACCTCTGAGCCGACCTGGAACACCCATGGCGTGTGAGCTGGCAGACTGGGTAAGGCATGCTGATCCTCACCAATGGGCAAGTTCTTTTCTCCTAGGCTAAGGGCTGAGGCAAGGCATAAACACACAGTCTGGGTCATAATCATTTACCACCTCAGATGGCAAGAACTCTTTAAAAACCATAAACAAAAACATACACAACAGAAAAGCCAGTGTACTTACAGGAGGTATCATCCAACCACTCAATGTGAGCCGGAGGGTATTCTTTAAAATAGGAAAAGATATCCTGGGTACTCATCTCATCCACTCCACAAATGTAGATTGTCTCCAGCCTCACTTTGGGGATTGCTAGAAAAATGAGACACACAAGACATGACAGAATTTACCATGTGCCACTGCACATGCCACCAGACACCTTTGTAACATTCAGATAACACGTGTCCAGAAAAGAAATATGCTGAATAAAATGGCAATTATTTCCAAAGAACATGAGACATGACAGTAAGTTAATTTTTATCTCTGAACAGAGCATTAAATAAATAATTTAATTTAGAACAGGCATATTAAGCTTCAAAAGATTAAACAAATAATCTCTCCACACATTAACCTGTTATAATCAAAACAATAACAAACCTAATAATTCTTCAGTCTGACAAGCTGATTCCAAAATATTTAAACGTATGTCAAACAGAGATGTACAACAGTAGAAACGATTCTAAAAGAAAAGCAGGCATTCCCTCAAATATATCAAAGTATGAAACTAGGGTAAAGAAACTATAGTATGAAACTAAAGAAATCCTGAAAGTCGTTAAGAAAATGGTAATTCAAAATAAAAATGGGCAAAGAACAAAAGCAAGCAATTTATGCAAAAGGAAATACAAAAGCCTAGTAAACACAAAGAGATGGGTTGGCCTCACTAGTAATCAGGAAAATGCACACCAGCACAAGAATACACCAAATTCATTAACCAGGTTTTGTCTTTTGGTATGCAGTTTATGTCTTTTGGCCATCCATTGGGACACTTACTCCCCCTGCTGGTAGAGTATGAATTGTAACTCTTTGAAGGACAAATGGTGAGTGTCTTTATCACTAGGAATTCTTGTCCCGGCATCTACCCTACAGACACAAACACACCTGATTTCACAAAGTGGCTCAGAATGTCCACAGCAGCACTATTTCTAATAACCTGGTAGCTATCAGAGTAATCAATTATGATTTGTCTATACAGCAAAAAAAGAGATTATTATATACCATGGAAATATTCTAAGACACATTCAGAAAGGAAAAAAAACCAAGCTGTAGAAAATTACATATAATGTGTTGACACTGAAGAAGAACATAAGGGTCAGTGCTGTGGCATAGCGGGTTAAGCCGCTGCCTGCAGTGCCAGGCGCCGGTTCCCATATGGGCGCCGGTTCAAGACCCAGCTACTATACTTCCGATCCAGCTCCCTGCTATGGCCTGGGAAAACAGTAGAAGATGGCCTAAGTCCTTGGGTCTCTGCACCCGAGTGGGAGTCCCAGAAGAAGCTCCTGGCTCCCGGCTTTAGATCGGTGCAGCTCCAGCTGTTGCAGCCAACTGGGGAGCAAACCAGCGGATGGAGGGCCTCTCTCTCTCTCTCTGCCTCTCCTTCTCTGTGTAACTCTGACTTTCAAGTAAATAAATAAATATTTTTAAAAAAAGAACATAAAACACTTCCATACATTTTCTAGTTTACATTTGTGTACACAAATACCCAGAAAAAAAGCATAATATGATTTTCACCATTCTGGTAATAACTGTTACCTTTAGGAAAAGAAGAATGTTGAGGGCTAGGGTCAAAAAGGAACTTGAGCCTTAGCAGAACTATCTTAATTTTTTACTACTTTAATTACATTATCTCATTTAACCCTTTAAATTGTGAAATGAGACAATATATAAATAAGAAAAAAAAAAAGAAATCTATATAGGGGTTGGCATTGTGGCACAGCGGGTTAAGCTGCTGCTTGCGACACCAACATCCAATGCAAGAACTGGTTCAAGTCCCAGATGCTCAACTTCTGATCTTGCTTCCTGGCTACTGCCTGAGAAAGCAGAAGATGGCCAGAGGGCCAGCCCTGTAACATAGTGGGTAAAAGCCACTGCCTGCAGTGCCAGCATCCCATATGGGTGCTGGCTCAAGTCCTAGCTGCTCCACTTTCAAGCGGGAGACCTGGATGAAGCTCCCGGCTCCTGGCTCTGGTCTGGCCTTTGCAGCCATCTGGGGAATGAACCAGTGGATGGAAGACCTCTCCCTCTCTATGTAACTCTTTCAAATAAATAAATCTTTACAAAAAAAAAATAAAAATAAATAAATAAACTTACAATACATATGAACACTAACAGACACAAACAATTTTAATAGTTTTGTTACTACATTTTGAAGAGGAAGAGAAGAGAGCCCATGTTTATTGAAAGTCTGTGTCCGTGTGGTCAGACAAATCTGGTAAATATTCTCCCTGACAGCTCAGGTTCTTGAAGACGGAGTGGCATCAAGTCTTGTGAACCTCAACAAGTCTTTAGGGGCAGCACAGGAGTAATAGGGGCTCGAATGTAAGATGGGAGGCAAGGTGTGAAGCCCAGGGGCTGGCTTCTGCTCTTGCCTGTGACTCTGGAGGAGTGAGCCGACGGTTCCACAGAAGGGAACAGAGGACAGAGACGGCTCCTGATGGTGGCAGACCAGGTGGACTGAAGAGCAGGAGATGGATTACCCGATAAAGACTAATCTTAAATGAAACAAGCAGAGAAAACAAAGGCAAAAAAAAAAAAAAAAAAAGAAAAGAAAAGAAAAAATTACATAAGTAAATATAAAAAGCATCATAGCACTGCTTTATCAAAGTATTACATTAAAAAAAGAAAGCTGACAGGGATGGAAATTAAAATAAAAACAAAAGGGAAGGCACGTGAGGAACACATTGTCAGACCTCACACGCCTATCTTTACGCAGAGACTGGCACACACAGCTAAGAACTGGACAACAGGCAATTTCATTCAGAAAAAGCAGTAAAGAGACAGAGAAAGAGATGCAAAGGCACGTCACAGAGCTGAAGTAGCCTTAGTTAGCTAGAGGACAAGAAAGGTCCGTTCTCGGAAGAGTCCCAAACTGACAGCGGCACGACCCACTCGAGACAGCACCACTGCAAGCAGCTCCAGATCTGATGGAAGCTGCCAAAGAATGTCCAACGCTTCTGCACCTCGCTGACAACTGCACTGCTCAAAATGAAACAATGCGACAAAGACGGCTCCCAAAATGAAACAATGCGACAAAGACGGCTCCCAAAATGAAACAATGAGACAAAGACGGCTCCCACATGCGTGCCAACCCACGCCATAGGGCTGTCGGCCGACAGCCGCGGCTGCAGAACACACAGGCGCTGGGTTTGAGGACTGGACGTTTACTGAGTGTTCACCACAAGCCAGGTGGTGAGGTCAGGGTGGGCTTTTCTAACAGGAAAAGAAGAAATGAATAACGGGCAGTAAGACATGAAATTCAAGCCTTTAGGAGAGCATATTTCAGAAAATCCCAAGACAAAGTGGCCAAAGCCAAAGCCTCAGATCAGAGTAATCCCTAAATACAGTCACACACAGCCTAACAGGTGACCCAAGAGAAGGCTGCAAAACTTCAGTGAGCACAACTCACCAAAGAACACCTACAGGAGACAGATAAAGGCTAAACGACAAACGACAAAATGCTCATTACTTCAAATGGAAAAGGGAAAACAGTAGTATGACCACAGAGGGAAAAAACAAAGTTAATTCCCAGAAGAGAGACAGGAAGGAAGCACACAGAGCACGGCACTGCCTGCTGTGAGCGCTGAGCTACCGCAACTTCTTCCTTAGTCTGCTTTCCCAATGCTCCCTGACGAGCACAAACTGCAAACCACCTAAGAAGAAAGGTGAGCGTCCGGGGCGGACATGCTCACCCCCACTGCTGACGGCTTTCTTCTGTCTAAGTGTCCACAGCCGTCACTGCTGTGGGAAGATGATGCAGAACCAAAGCAGAGCTGCTGAACTCTTCTGCTAGTCCACTATCAGCTAGGAGAGCTGTCGTTACAGAACCCAAACCCACAACAGGTGACGACAGCATAGCATTAGGTTTTTGTTTTTTTAAGATTTATCTATTTATTTGAAAGGCAGAGTTACAGAGAAGCAGAGGCAGAGAGAGAGGTCTTCCATCCGCTGGTTCACTCCCCAAATGGCCGCAATGGCCGGAGCTGAGCCAATCCCAAGCCAGGAGCCTGGAGCTTCCTCTGAGTCTCCCATGCGGGTGGCAGGGGCCCAAGGACCTGGGCCATCTTCCACTGCTTTCCCAGGCGATAGCAGAGAGCTGGATTGGAAGTGGAGCACCCGGACTCAAACTGGCGCACATACGGGATGCCAGCACTGTGGGCGGTGGCTTCACCTGCTACACCACAGTGCTGGCCCCAGCATTAGTTTCAATAGATTTTAACCTTCAGGTCCAGAATTACATTCCAGTGTACTGACTGCAGCTGTGATTTCAAAATTAGGTAGTAATCTCTAAAAGTGGCAGGGAAGCAAAGAAGCACCTTAAAGTCTTGAGAAGGACTAATCTACTGATTTTCATAGAGGAGGAAAAGGGAAATCTGACCACAGATTAAAAGCTTACACTAAGTCTCTGAAATAAAAAATAGCTTATTAGACAGAATATGTGATCTCTTAAGAAACCAGTCTTTCCCTTAGGAAATGACATGAGCTGTGTAAGAAAGGCACACTAACCTCGTTTCTTTCCTGACAGGATTACTAGGCCAAGAAATTCAAGGAATACCATAGATGGTGCTCTTGCTCTAGTTTCTCATGACAATAAAATGAAAAGACTTATAATTAATGCATCTATGTTCGCGGCATGATTACAGCCAGACGCTGTTCAACATTCACCGACAACTGGCTGAAGTCGAAGCCATGCGGACCAAGGCAGAGAGGACACAAAGGCAGGAGGGCATAGCACTGAAGGGCAGAAGTAACACGAACGCTAACTCAACAGACTAAACACGCACACTTTCAATTCACAAGATGTAATGAAACTGCGGTAAATAAAAAAGGATTTTCTAAAGGTGCCTCAAATACAAGTTGTTTTGCTGGGTGCAATTCCTGGGAGAAAAGAGCTGACCAGACAAAGAGTATCCCGCCATGACCTGGCCAGGACCGAGACAGCACTACCAGTCCTGCCATACTCTCCAAGAATCCAGGCCTGTCTGGAATCAACACCTCACCTGATGAAGGTCATTTGGAAACTGAAAAGGGTCCAGAGAAGAGAGATCAGAAAGCTGTGTCATATAAAGGAAGCGTAGGGACGCCAGTAAGCCCATGCTTTCATTACATGAAGGCTACATTGTGTGGCTCAAAGGGCCACACAATAACTAACAACCAATAACTAGAAGACAATGCTTCTTCAACACAAGGAAGAATCCAAAACCAAAGCTGCCTGTCTTGTAAACAGTTCTCAGTGCTATCACTAGGAAACATTTAAGCAGACGCCAAAGGACCAACAGGAACTTTGGGAAAAGGCCTGCAGCCCTGGGCTTGGGAGCTTGGTCTGGATGACCTTTAAGGTGCCTTCCATCCCTGAGACCCTTGATGTTGGGGACAAGACAGAAGGAGTTTGACATCAAATCATCCAAAAGAAGCAAGTCACTCTTGGGACAGAACAGTGTAGTGTAGCGCATCCCAAAGCATGGTCCCCAGTGCTGGCAGCCTGGGTGGGAACACAGGCTTTAGCCAGGCCAATCCTTCAGTCCAGCCTTGCTCCTAACCTAGCTGTAGAACTCTGGGCAAGCATCTTAACCTCTCAGGTAAAACACAAATGCTAAGTGCATTCCCTCATAAGGTTATTGAAAGGATAAGTTAACTTCTGGCAGAGTGACCAGCATTTAACAAACGTTATTTTTTATTAGTAGTAGTATTGGTATTGGTATTGGTATTGATATTGGTATTCATAGTAGGAATGAACAACTTGTCACCTGGAGGAAGCAAGATGCTGTTTCCAACTTCTCCATTCTCCCAAGAGGCTGCTCACTTAGTAAATGACAATAACATTTACTGAGCACCTCCTACATGCCAAGCACCACTCTAACAACTTAACGTTTTGTCACCGCTGGGAGCAGCCAGGATGAGAACCTGCACTCCAACATGGGATACAGGTGTCCCAAGCAGCATCTTAACCTGCTGCACCAAATACCCAACCCTGGGCTCAAACACCGCTTCATGTTTACTAGCTGAGCGACCGTGGGCATTTCATTAAATGAATGTGTTCTAGCTTTTTTGTGTAAAATGGGGATAAAAATATATACCTCATAGAGTTGTGGGAAACAATAAACAAATGCAACACGTGCTTGACAAGTACTTGGTAAGAAAGCAAGTTCCCAAGAAATAGTAACTATTCCCGATTCTTCCTTTCACTCAACATGGTGCTGAGCTTCTGCTCCCATCAGCCAAGCACGGCTGGAGAAGCTCGCACACACAGACCTTCCATGCACATTCAGAGGCTGCCATGGAGCCCTTAAAAAAAAAAGCCAAACTGAGTGCAGGCTTCGTGGCACGGTGGGTTCATCCATATCAGAGTGCTCACTCAAGTCTAAGCTGCTCTGCTTCCCAGCCACAGTCCTGCTAGTGTACCCAGGAAGGCAGCGGAAGCATGTGTCCCTGCCACCCACGTGCAACGTGCGGATGACAGGTTCTGGGTTTTGGTCTGGCCCAGCTCCAGCTGCTGCAGGCATTTGGGAACTGACTCAGCAAATGGAAGATCTTTCTCGCTCGCTCTCTCTCTCTGCCTTTCAAATAAATAATTAAACCCCCAACCCCCCCCAACACATACAAACTTACAAATACAACACAGGGGGGCCTTCTGCATTCAAATATTTATATTAGAGTGGAATAATAAATAAGGACATAGGCTCACTAAGAGTACTAATTTTCCCTCTATCTGTACACTGCTTTGGAAGACTGGAACAGATTGCTGTACCAGTTGAGAATTTCTAATCTAAAAACCTGAAACATGAAAGGCTCCAAAACCAAACCCTTCTTGAAGATTTTTATTTATTTTCATCTACTTGAAAGGGAGAAAGACAGAAAGCACTTTTCCATCTGCTAGTTCACTCCTTCAATGCCCATAAAAGCTGGGGCTTGGCCAGGCGGAAGCCAGGAGCTCAGAACTTAATCCTGGTCTCCCACATGGGTGGAAGGGACCCAAGTACTTGAGCCACCACCTGCTGTCTCCCATGGCATGCAGCAGCAGGAAACTGAAATCAAACTGACACTCCAATATGGGATGCGAGTGTCTCAAGCAGTAGCTTAACCACTGCACCAAACACCCGCCCCCAAAACCAGAACTTCTTGAACATGATGGAAAATCATATACCTGATTTCATGTGACAGGTCACAGTCAAAACAAAGGTGCATTAAAAATACTGCATAAAATTACTTTCAGGCTGTGTGTACTTCAGAAAGTTAATAGAAAATGGAGTTAAAAGATAAGTTTATTTTGGTGCAACCATGAACTTTTAGAAGATTCCTCATATAAAGCAAGGTTAGATGCATGAGGCAATGGCAGGGAAAAGTCACTCCCTGGGTTAACGTGCACAGATTCCCCCAGAAACACCTTGTACCTTTCTTCATCATGTCTCGGTCCAAGGCGACGTTTCTCTGGGCAAGATTGACTTCTGATCGAAAATGGAAACGCCTGGCTCGCTGTTCTTTCTTCTCAATTGCTTCCTAGAAAGTATAGAAAAAGTCAAGGAAGTGAAACATGGAAAAGGAAAGTTAAATTATCACATGAATCGGCGGCAACTCCAAAACACATCAGGGGTCAGGCACTTGGCCCGTCAGCGAGGAGTGAGGAGTGCCTGAGTTCAACGCCAGCTCTGGGTGCTGACGGCAGCTTCCTATCCGTGCAGACCCTAAGAGGCAGCAGCGATGGCTCAGACAACTGCACTCCTGCACTGAGCTCCTGCTGCCACCTTGGGCCCAGGCAGCTCATCACTGGCATGTGAGGAGTGAACCAGAAGATGGGAACTCTCTTATTCCCTCTCACTAATTTAAACACAAAAATAAATCTGAAATACTGAAACTGAACAGTTTTATAGAACACTGGATTTCATAGTCTATGGTGTGGGAGGGCCCACGTGAACACTGCTGTATACTGTAATACTCTGCATTCTATCACAGCCTATCGCTGTGGCTGGGACACAGGAGGAATTCAGCAAGCATTTGCTGATTGAACGAATAGTGCTGTCCAGTTCCTGAACTATTAGCAATGATGCCAACAAATCACAGCTACACAACCTCAACATTCCAATTCCCCGGGTACAGAACTGAGGCCCAAGTCAGAAGGCTGGAGGTGCCTGCTCACGTTAAGGGGGACAAGCTTCTGATTCTAGGGCTATTTCTAGGAGCCTCTCCCCATCACCACCACTTCCATCATCTGTGGGCACAGTAATCACACCTGGCACACTCCGCCACGTTACATCCGCCCAAGCAGTCCCCGCCCTAAAGCTAGATCCTCGTTTAAAAATAACTCTGATGCAAAGACACACTCTCCACTCTTCCAGCCTGTGTCCCCGGAATTGCCAGTTTTCACCTTTAAGTGACAAGAAGCACTGATGCCTCACTGGAAAAATCATCTACGTTGTGAGTTTCTCCCAACACCTAAGATAAATCCAGGTCCAACTGCCCGCCTCTAGTGGCTCTTAAGAACCCTGCACTAAGAAAACATTTTCATTTCATTCTACTTCCACAGCTGTCTAAAAGATGATCAGTTCTCTTTCTTTTGGCCTTTCAGAAGTGTAATTTAAAATTCTGTGCCAAACTTAATTACACACATTAAAATCAGAAAGAATATCTAAATTGGCTATCAGTGCTTAAAACAAATATGTATTAGCTATTTATAACAAAAATCATGGGTTTGAGCAGCATTCAGTGGAAGAAAGGTAATACTCTCAGGTACCGGGTGGCTTGGCTCTTAAAGTTTAGATTGTGGGGCCCGCGTTGTGGCATGGCGGGTAGAGCCGCCACTTGCAAGGCTGGCATCCCATGTGAGCACTGGTTGGAATTCCGGTCCCTTCACTTCCGACACAGCTCCATGCTAATGTGCCTGGAAAAGCAGCGAGGGATGGCCCAAGTCCTTGGGCCCCTGCACCCATGTAGGAGACCTAGAAGAAAATCCTGGCTCCTGGCTTCAGACTGGCCCCGCCCTGGTCCTTGCAGCCATTTAGGGAGTGAACCAACAGACTGAAGATCTCTCTCTCTCTCAAAATCTACCTTTCAAAGAAATAAATCTTTATGAAAAAAATAATAAAGTCAAGTTTAGATCACCACAGTCAGAAAACCTGTTTTTCAAGTCTGTGACCCATGAAGAATGAAGACATTTACTAAGCACCTACCACGTGCCAGGCACTTTTCATGTTTTCTTTCATTTAAAGTAGAAGAGATACATATTTTCTAAGAAGAGACACAGCTCAAAAAAAAGCATTCTCGGTACAAAGCTTTTTCTTGGAAATGGTTAAGCGCAGGCATCTAAGTACAGTGATTTTGATCTTTTTGTGGATGAGGAACACAAAAACGCTGCCTGGACACTTTCAGGATGCATGAGGGCATCACTGACGGTATCACACAGTTTCCCTCAGGTTTAATGCACTGACAAAAGAAAAGGAGGAGGTTAAAAATATTCACTGTTTTGCAGGTCCTAGGGACCGAGTTCACTAAGCTCCCCTGTGTATCAAGCTGAACAAACCGTGGCCTCTCTTACCTTGGAGGTGACGTCAATCCCGGTGATGAAGCTGCCAGCCTTGTTTTCGTATCTTCTGCTTGTGTCCTAACACAAAAGGGAAGGGTAAGAAACGCCACCGTAACTGAGGGAAAAACCCATGACAAACACAGCCTGACATCTGGTTATTTGGGACAGTTGTTCGTGTCAGCAACCCTTCCCCACCACTGACAACCCCTCATTAAGAAGCCCATCCCAGCGACTCCAGGGTACCAACCAACCACTCCAACAAGATCAGAGCCTGTTCAGCATCAGCTGGAGGTACCCACATAAATGAAAACCTAAAGGTTCTCGTGAAAAATGTCACAGAGGAGGCACAGCCTTTCCACCCCGGACTGGACAAGAGTCCCCTGCCAGGCCACCAGGTGGAGCACAAGGATGGCGTGCACTCCTCCAGACCTGGGGGACCCAGCGAAGCGCAGCGAGAGATGGGACCTGGACCCGGACACACAGGATACCACACACCGCCTCGGCGCTCCTCAGGCCTCGGGGCCCGCCCAGGCACCTGCCAACCTTCCTGACCTCTTCTCCCGCTCTCCCAAAGGCTGCGCCAAGTTCCCACCCACCCCTGCAGGTGCCCCTGCTGGGAAGGCTCTCTCAATCTGCACACGGCTGGCTCCTTGTGTCACCGAGGGTTCAGCTTAAATGTCACTCAGAGGTCATCCTCTCTCTGGCCATCCTACCATGTTCCTCTTCCCCCTCTGTAACCCTCCTCACCTCACCCCTGCACCCCTGTCCCATTAACCTTTTCCTCACAGCATTTAATGCTAATGAAAATTACTCATTGTGTCTCCAAGAGGGCGTCTGATCAGGACACTGATCAAGCGTCTAGGACTGCACCTGGCACAGTGGCGCTTACAATAAACACATAATGAGTTAAATGAATGACCTATAATAATTCTCACTTCACAACGTAAATGAAGTAATGAATAAACGAGAAATGCCATCTAATAGACTGTTCTCACGGTGCTGTTTGTCATCTCCAGTGTCCTACCTTAACCTCTGCCCGTACTCAGTTTAAATGCAAGATATGGGGGCAGGCATTTGACAGGGCAGGTAAGTCACGGCTTAGGTCACCCACATCCCAGGAGGGAGCGCTGGGTTCAGATCCTGGCTGCTTCCACTTCCAATTCAACTCCTTGCTAAAGCACACCCTGGGAGGCAGCAGAGGATGGTTCAAGTGCTTGGGTTCCTGCCACCCAAATGGGAAACCAAGACTGAGTTCCAGGCTCCTGGCTTTAGCCAAGTCCAGCCCTGGCTGTTGCCAGCATTTGAGGGTTGAACCAGCCGGTGGCTAATTTCTGTTTTTCTGACTCTCTCTGCCTTTCACATAAAGGAAAATAAACAATAAAAATTAAAAAATCATAGTAACAAGACTTGCTGAGATACAGCTTGAAAAAAAAAAAAACCACCCATAGCTGGTATTGTGTGGGAAATTAAAAATTAAGTACACGAAAGGAGCCATGCAGCCTGACACCAGTTCTACCAGCCGGACAGACGGCCACCAAGCCACACGCCCACGGCCGCAACAGAGGCACCCCGGCCCATGGCTGGTTTCACTAAGGGTCGGATGCCGGCGCCACGGGTGCGGGGCTACACCGCAGTGGAGCTGCGCGGGGGAAAGACGACCCTCGAGTGGCAGCAAGCAGAAACATGGCGAGTGTTGGCCGCCGCCAAGCCTAGCCTTCCAGAGAAAGGGTAAGGGCCATGTCTAACGGACACCAACCCCACAGGCACAGGACAGGACCCGCAGCGGGACCTGGCAGCCGGCGCTACCCTCACTGTCCCTTCGGGCCCGCTCCTGGTTCGGCTCCCGCCAGGGGCTCCCGCCGACCTCAGCCCCAGCCCCTCCTCGCTCACTCCCGAGCACGGCCGGGCTCGAAGGACCGCCAACGGGGTGTCCTCGGCCACCTCCCAGCTCTCCCCCTCCTCCAGTCCGCCCGACACCCATTTCCGGGCGCCCCGGCGTCCTTTCTCTCGCTCCGCGTCCCTGCTCCAGCCGGGTGCCCCCGCCCCCCGGCGTTCGCGCCCCTCTCCCCCGCTCTCCAGTCTTCTGGCTGAGGCGCCGGTCACCCCCCCTTCCGACTCCTTTCGGCCCCCTTCAGTCCCCTCCGGCACGGGACGCTCGCTCCGCGACCTCCTCCTCGCCCCCAGCCCGTACCGGGATCAGTTCCTTCAGCGAGCGCCGCACCGGCACGATCTCCAGCTCGCCCTCCTCCACCTCCATGGGCTCCGGCTCTCCGCGCTCCAAACCGGACTCTACTTCAGGCAACGAGAGCGCCAGGGCAGGGCCGGCCGGGGCCTCCGCCTTCACCGACACTCGCAGGCCCCGTACGGCCGCCATCGCTGCCCGCCGGCCGCACCACTGAGAGCCCGCCCCACACACCCGCCGGCTAGAGCGCCGCCGCCACAGCCCACAGAGGAGCCGCCGCCGCTACCTAGAGCGTCGTCTGCCTCTGTCAGAAGGACGCCCACAGCGCCGCCGCCCCCTGGCGGCGAGAGGGACCCCAGCCAGCTGGGGCGGGGTCTGGGGTGGAGAAGGCGGGACCGAGTGGGGATGGGGGCGGGCCTGCCGGAGGCGAGCGGGTGAGGTTTGTGATTACAGAAACCGGACAGTCAATGCTTTGAGGACTACACCTGCACTGAAAGCTAACTTTTCCGAGCCACTACTCTATGCTTACAAGCGCTTGAACCCTTAAACAGGAGTTAGGAGTTAGTTCCTATTATAACCCGCATTGCACACAGGAGGAAGCAGGTAGAGACTTTTGCCCAGGGTAATGCCTGTTTAAGGGATAAAACCTTGGTCTGAGCCTTGGTGGTCTGCATTTGTTTGATGGATGGCGCACAAGGTAATGATGATCTTAGACGGGATGCGTGGCCTGCATTTAATTAAAATTTTCTTTAATTGCATTTATTTGTCAGCGACAGAGATCTTCCATCTGCTGGTCCATTCCCCCAAATATCTGCAACTTCCGGGCCTGAGCCAGGCCGAAGCCAGGAGCCCGGAATTCAGTCCGGGTCACTAACAGAAGACCAGGAGAGTGGGCCATTGGGGCAGATGGGGGAGCGGGTCTCAAGGAGGGCATGAGCAGATGTCAGATGCAGGTGCACCTCCCCGGGGGAGCTTGGTTTGGCTCTCAAGCCCCGATGGCCCTGGAGAAGGCAGGTCCATGCTGGGAGCTGAGCAGCAGGGACAGCCCTTTTGAGAAGCTGAGACGTGTGTGGGGGAGGGTGGCCAAGTGGTCCCTGTGAGCATCCCTTTTCTTTTTCTCCTCTAACTGGAGTTGGCCCCTCCCTTTCCTTTATCCTTCCCCCTCCCACCCAAGGATAAGGGGAATAAAAATGGTGGAGCCCTACCTGTCCTGGGGTAACAAAGGGCAAAGCCATCTGGAGACAAGACGCCCTCGCTGTGACACCAGCGGCTGCTGGCGGCAGGAAGGTGGCCCAGGCACTGCCCGGCTGGGAGGGATGCTGTGCCGTGGTTTTAAATGGGACGCACCCAACCCAGGGCCCCTGGTTCACGTCTCCTTGGACCACACACAAGTTGATAGTCAAGGGAGGGTTCATGAGGTAGCCGAGCCTGGTGGAGGAGCTGGGTCCGTGTCCCCCATGCCCTCAGAGGGAAGTCCTCCATCCGAGCCCCCACCTTCGCCTCCCCTGACCACTCAGCATCATAGGCACGGACAGCTGCAGACCCTCATGTCCGGCTTCCTGTTGGAGTCTTTTCTGGAACATTCTGAGGCCCCTCAGACTCACCCTGCTGGGGCCATCCCTGATCAGCACAGTGGCCACTCCAGGGGGGCAGCCTGGAAGCACCAAACCACCTCCTCTCCCCCCACCCCCGGGCATAGCAGGGGTGTGGCCTCTCGAGGATGGCTCATGCCCACCTGCTTCCCCTCCCCACCCCACCCTCTGCCTCGATTCCATCCTCCCAGCCACCATCACACCATCGCTTGTCTGCACACCTCAGTGCCTCACCTCTGGGCCCTCTCTTCTTCTGGTTCTTCCACTCCTTTTTTTTTTTTTTAATTATTTATTTATTTGAAAGACAGAGTTATGGGGGATGGGGAGAGGAGGAAGGAGAGAGAGAGAGAGAGAGAGGGATGCTGTGTCTGCGGGTTCACTCCCCCAAATGGCTGCAACAGCCAGGGCTCATCCAGGCCAAAGCCAAGGGTCTGGAACTCCATCTGGGTCTCCCACGTGGGTGGCAGGGGCCCAAGCTCTCAGGTCATCCTCCACCGCTTCCCCAGGCACATCCGCAGGGAGAGCTGGATCAGAAGCGGAGCAGCTGGGACTCAAACCGGCACGCCGATGAGGGATGCCGGCAGCAAAGGTGGTGGTGTAACCCGCTGCACCGCCACGCCGGCCCCACTCCTGTTCTACACCGTAGCCAGAGCGGCCTTCTCAGCACACGTCCTCCCAGCTCCTGCTCACTCTCCATCTTCATCTTGCTCCACTCCTGACTCCTCGCCCCTGACATCACCACTCCAGTTCTTGGGAAACATCACACTCTCCTACCCCAGGGCCCTTGCACCAGCTGGTCTGTCAGTTTAGAGCTGTGTTCCCTTGCTCCCCCCACCCCGACCCACCTTGGTCTGTTCAGTTTTAGCTTTGTGTCTCAGCCGGAGCCTTCTTGCCTCTGGGAAACCGTCCTAACCGTCCTCAGAGAGCCACTTGCCACAGGCCTTTCCTGTGCAGCCCCTCTGTCGGCTCAAAGTCATCCAGGCACACACATTCGTGTCTGTCTCCTGCAGTGGGCTGTGAGAGCCACAGCCTGGCTTAGTGCCCAGCTCAGCGTCTGGTTGCAGAAAGTCCTGGGCAATATTGAGAGGTTGCTGGACGGACATATCAGAGGGAAACGAGGCCTCTGGCCACACTGGGTCCAGGAGCACAGAGCTCCAAGGCCCTGGCCTGCCTTTACCATCTCTCACCGTTCTGGGCCCGAGCTATTGCTGTCCATTCTGCTGCGCATTGAGTCCACCTGGGACGCGTGGACACTGGGCTAGTGGTTAGGACGCTGGCTAAGACACCCATATCCCTGATCGCAGTGCCTGGATTGACAGCTGCCTTTGGCTCCTGACTTCCGCTTCCTGCTAATGTGCACCCTGGGAAGCAGCAGGCAGTGGCTCAAGCACTTGGGTTCCTGACATTCGTGTGGGAGACCTCAGTTGAATTCCCAGCTCCCAGCTTTGGCCTCAGCCAAGCCCCAGCCAGCGTGGGCACTGGGGGAGTGAACTAGCAGATGGAAACTCTCCTTCTCTCTGTCCACCTCACACTAATTCATTAATTAAAAAATAATAACAGGGCGGGCATGGTGGCACGTGGGTCAGGCCACTGCCTGGGACTCCAGCATCCCACGTGAGTGCCTGTTTACGTCCTACGCACTCTGCTTCCAACCCTGCTCCCTGCTAATGCACTCTGGGAGGCAGTGCGTGATGGCTCAAGTCCTTGGGACACTCGGGTGAAGCTCCTGGCTCCTGGCTTTGGCCTGGCCCAGCCCTGACCATTGTGGCCATCTGGGGAGTGAACCAGCAGAGGGAAGACCTCTCTCCTTCCCTCTCTGCCTCTGTCATTTTGCCTTTCAAATAAATAATATTTTTAAAGGAAATAGCAAGACTATAAAGTAAAAACAAAAGCCAGCTGGGGAGCTGGAGAGGTGACAGACTGCCTACTGTAGGCAGGCAGCACTGGTGACGGGGCGTGTCGCCAGGTGCACCATTGGGTGACTTGGTCCTTACGTGAGCATGCGGGCCCACACATACACACACTGAGCTGATTACCGTGTCGCCAGGCAGGGCCATCTCACGGGACTGCCGTCAGCTGTGCAGCCCATTGTGGGTGCAAACGCGGTCATGTGGCGTGTGATTGTCCGTGACCTTCCAGAAAAGGCAGACAGATGGACACAGTCAGGGAGTGGGGCAGTGACATGTTCTGTATGATGCTGTGATGGCAGGTGCAGCCTTCAACGTCTGTCAGAACCCTAGAACTTACAACACCAAGCAGACCATGGGCTGTAGCTAACAACCGCGTCGGCTCATCCATTGCAGCAGGAGCCGCTAACACAATGCTGGTAAAACTGGATGCCAAGGGCACGCGGGGAACCTGTCCGCTTTCTGCTTGGTTTTCCTGTGAACTTAAAACTCTTTCCAAAAAAAGAAGTCCATTCATTTTTTTTAATTTTAGTCCTGACACCTGGGCCATGTCCCAGCACATTCGAATGTGAAGCTCAGAGAGGGAGCAAACGCAGGCACTGGGACTTGTCCCAAGCTGCCCTGGAGACCCTAGCTAGTGTGTGGCCAGGTGAAGAAAACCGGGAAGAGGGGCGTGGGGACCAGGCCAACCACAGGGGGGCGCCCTTTCTCAACTCTGGGGAGGCTTCCCAGCGTGGTGGGTGGAGACTGCCTAGGAGGAGGGGGAGCAGCTTGGGCTCAGGCAGGGGGAGCCCTGTCCTTGCGAAAGCTCCAGCCTTAGGCAGCGCCCCTCTCGGGCTCTGCAGGAGATCGGAGTGAGAAGAAGGAGCGCCCTTGATGCTGCAGATCTGCACACGGAGATCCATTCCTTCCCTGCTAACTATGGCCGCATACGGGGGATGGAGACACCCGGGGCTCAAAGTGCAGGCAGCACCGACCGTAGGGACCACAGCTAGCTAGGACGGAGAGTGACAGGCCTGCCGGAGGTGGGATGGTGAAGACCCGGGAGTCCACGCAGAGGGTGTCGCACAACCACTGCTGACTGCCCTTGAAAGTAGAGGGGCAGAGCTGTGGCTCATCCCTGGGGGAGAGGCCTGAGCAAGTTTGCAGGCCGAGGGGCAGGGCACAGAGAGTCAGAGAAGGGGCCCACCAGGAGTCAGTAGGGAGAAGGGGTCCCCAAAGGAGAGGCCTAGGTCTTGTGATTCCACCAAGAGGAGCTCTGGGCAGGGGATTCAGCGGGTGGCATAGTGCATAGGCAGCGCAGGAGACAGCCCTAGAGGGTAAGCCCAGCACCAGGCCACAGCTGCAGACTATGGAAGGCTTCCCGGTGGAGGTGCCTTGGAGATGGGCAGTGGGGCAGGGCAAGGGGAGAAGACACATCTGTGAGCAGGATCTGGACAGAAGTGACGCTGCCCTGGGGTCTTGTCCTCTGACCCTCCCTTCCCACCGTGAGACCCCATGGGCTGACAGGTGTGGGGAGGCAAAGACCAGGCCCGGAGCCCAGAGCTGTCCTCTGAGAGGCGCCCAGGCCTCCCAGGGCACACCCAACTGTCCCCAGGCCCTGCCCCGGGCGCAGCTCCCCGACGACTTAGGTCTGGGGGTATGGCTTCTTCTCGCGCTTCCCCAGATGTCCATGTGTGCAGGCCCCCATTCTCCTGGCAGCTGAGATGGGGAGACCTAGGGGACTGTGGGAGCCC